CTGTCAAGCTGGAAAGGCTCCCAAAAGGCGCGCCCACGATGGTGTAATTGCACGAGTCGGGGCAGTCGTCGACGAATATCCTTTACCCTCCGTTGGGCCACAGGTCTATTGTACGGTATCAAAATCACAGAATAGACGACTGTACTGGCCCAATGGTTAATGGTATGCCACAAAAAGAATGTCAGCTTCATAAAGTTACAATTTTTTGAAACGTAAGATGGCTTTAAATTTCATAGTTGCTTAAAAATTTCTTTCTATCGGGCGCACCCTTAAGCGCCCGATAGTTGACCCGCTTAGCATGCTTGTGAGGCCCGGAAAAGTGATAAATCTTTTGGCATGTCTTTCATGACAACGACTTGAGCGCAAATTGAGCAACTTGTTAGTTCATCTGTCGACATCTTCTAATGTCGTCGATAACACTCATCCGACTGCTGAAGTTTATTTCATAACCATAAAAACTCAACTCTGTCAGAGGGTCAAATCCGAGAAGCAATACCCAGCCTCATAAACACTTAGGGGAGTCCCATCGCTGCGACGTACCTCACGCGGGTTGCCCCTTAGCGTGTAAGAAGCGCGGCATTTGATTAGGTCCGCGGCCCGTCGAGTGAGGTGGTTGGGCCGCGATCCTTCCGGCAATCTATTCCCAATTTCAACTTTGGCCGCGGCGTTCCCGGTAAAATATGCACATGGACCGCGGCGTGTGGGGCTGAAATTTTAAGGGCCGCAGCGCGTTATGTAATACGCTTTGAGGCCGGTTTTAATTGGTTTTATAGATACTCTGTCGATCAAAAACTGTCACGCGCATACGTTGGCAAACGTGGCAACGCCGCGCCCACTGTGCTGTGGGGAGTAGACAATACCATTAACGTGACTCTATTCAACTGTTTTAACGTGTCAACTCCAGCAAATAAGGCGCTTGTTTAAACTTAAAATGTTAAAATCATCGAAAGGCAACTACGTTGATAGTACTTATGGGAAGAATTCTGGGGGTGCACGATACATACCCTCGATATCAACACGTGGATTACGGATTCATGAGGCGCCGCCTCGCTTCGGACTCGCGCCAAGATGCGTGCGCATCTTTGGAAACAAAATCAACGTAGAAAAGCTTGCGCCACGGGCGGCGGTGCAGGAGGGACCAAAGGCCTTACCGCATGTATCCAAGGGAGAAAGGGAAGGAGCTGGCTGCGTACCAAGAAGGATCTGGCAACCTTCCAAGCTCCGCCCTCGGCTCTGAGTCTGGATCAGGGTCAAGCGTGTGATACGACTGTCGCAACGGGGGGTCCTTGGCGGGGTAGCGGTGGAGGGGAGGGGGGGGGGTCGTAAAAGGAGGTAGTTTGGATAAAGAACCAAAGCATGGAAGGATATCTAATGGTAAATATATTACGTGTTCTTAACAATAAAATTATGGAATGCCGTGTACCAATGTATCAAGTAAAAACGAGTAAACAGTAATTTGAAACATTTGCAAACGTAGAAATTCGCTTCATTCGCTGCACTTTCAAAAGATTATGGCTTATGTTGTGAGTAGATTAGTAAGCCAATCCAGCTTAGTATTTATTGGTAAGTGGCCGGCTAACTTTTCGAGCTATTCGCCTTCTTCAGAGGCCTCCTCCACCGCCGGCGCGAGGATGCTGAAAGCCGCCATTCTTCAGTGCCACTGATACCATAATATTTTTAGAGGCCTCCTTCATCGCCGGCGCGCAGATGTTAAAAGCGGCAGTCCTTCAGTACCACTGATACCAATAACATTATTGTATTATTGCCACTGACCAATAATATTATTGGTATAATTGGCACTGAAGAACGGCCGCTTTCAACATCTGCGCGCCGGCTATGGAGGAGGCCTCTGAAGAAGACGAATAGCTCGAAAAGTTCGCCACTTACTAATAAATACTAACCTCGATTGGCTTACTAGTAATCTACTCACAACATACTAACAATGCCGAGAAGAAGAGAGGAAACTTGGAAACGATTATGACTTAGTTCATTTTTTTCCAATGGGAAACACTATTTCTCCCGCAAAATATTGTCGCAAACGGGGACCGAACCCTGCTAGCAGGTGCATGAATGTGTGATAAAGATGTTGGACGTACCGAATGATGTAGACGCCCTGCTTCCGAAGGCTCACTAAAGACTCACACACTTGACAAAAGCGCATATCTCTATCAACGCTAATAATCAATAATTTGTAAATCTGTTTGTAATGCTTTTCATACGGTTCTTACAACTTATTTGTACTTTAGAGGTGCTCTACTACATTTGTGCAAAATTTGGTCCTACTTTATAGCCTTCCGATTTTCTTATGATTTCATGTATGGTGGCAAAAAATGACAAAAGGGGGTCGTATCTGGGTCGCATCTAAATTTTTCCGGAGCTATTGAAGTTTGTTGGCTATAATTTTGCTGTAATACAAGGCCATCTTCCTACTTCCCATCCTAAAAATTCCAGGCCGTTTCGTTACTTCTCCGATGAGTTACAAAACTTCAAATTTTAAAAATCCCAGTTTCTGATTTTTAGGATCGCATCTAAATTTGAGAGATTCGCATCTCAATTTTTTCGAGCTCACTGCTTCTCTAGAGCTGAAACTTTTTCTATGGATAGTCTGAGGCCATATTCATCATTGCTACCTGAAGTAAAATGAACCTTGAGGTAAAATGTACCTCAAGGTGCACTCTACCTTAAGGCTGTTTCGTAATCATCAAAGTACCTCAAGGTTAATTCTACCTCAGCTTGCATAATGTGCGGTGACACTCATTCAGGGCGTGCCATAACTCTCAGCGGTGTGTAAAGTTCATTATTGTAAATCCCTCTTTTCCTTTCATTTGTGGGTATACAAATTTTAGGACCGTTCGCACGCAATGCTCGCTTTGCGTATGTTGCGCCGCTGGAGGAACGGATGAGAAAGACAAAGAGAACCACTAGGTAGTAAAGAGCCTGGCACTCTTAAAAGACATATCAATCTCGTTTTTTGTAATTTATCCCAAGGGCAGCGCGCATGCAGCACGGATCCTTGAAGGCAGCCGCTCGGCAGAATAGATCTACCTCAGAATTTGACATACATGGATAGGAGGCCCTCCAAGTGAGCCAAAAGAGCAACTCCGAGCCGAAAATGTGAATTTTGCAAGCCAGGGGGGCGAGCCAAGCTCCGCTCCCCTTCCTCCTTTCGCTTCCTTGCACCTTCGTGCGGACGAGTATGCTCGCTACCTCCTTATTCTGCGTCTCTGACGTCAGAGGAAAATGGCTCACTCTTCCGCGCCCGTTTTAAGGAGGGTTTCAAAAGACGGGGTTTCCCCATTCTCGCGCTAAGGGAAGTTTATATCGTGATTCAGGGGGCCGGAATAGCTCCAAATCTGCCAGAACCCCAAAGTCGAAAATCTGCCGAGCCGCTGCCTTTAACCCCCCCCCCCCCCTCCCTTCCCTTAACATAGGGAATTGTTACAAACTGAGTGCGAAGCTACGTGGACGCCATGATCTTTCTCCTTCAGCAAAAGCAATATCTGAAATTCGATTATCTACCAAAATCAGCTATACCAAATTCAAAACTAACGATTGTCGTGATGGCACAAACGGCCAGCTCAGACGCTGGAAGCGGACTAGCTGTGGCCCTCAATTATTACTGCGATTGACAAATTGTGGGCTGACACGGGAAGGAAAATTATACTAAACTTATGATCCGGGGTCAGCCGCCCTATGGAGGATCGCGTTTCGAGTGCATTTTAGTGCAGTTGCACCCAAAGGCCGCGCGTGGGCTGCACAATAGCGGCTGAGCAGATTTGGCACATTACTGCGTGATTTTCCCCGGCTCATACGTTTTCAGAGCCTGAGATATGAAGAAGGGATGAATTTATGGCACGTACCTTTCTAGCTGCTTAGGCTGCGGTGGTGAGATTAGAATGAACCCTACTTCAATATAAGATACCTTGAGAAGGTACTTCAAGGTACAATCTACCTCAGGGGATAATTTCGTATTCATCAAAATTTATCTCTCAAGGTTAAAACAGCCTGTGCCAGCATGATAAACACTGCTGACCTTTTTTCAGAGAAAGGCATGGCGTACTTGCGGTGAATTGCTTTCTTCATATCTGCATGGGATTTACGCGAGGATACTTATGTCTTTCGAGTGTGAAAGGCTACAGCTGGTGAATTGGAGAGGACAGGATCCACATATTCAACGATTCTAGGTTTTAAAACTCTATCCGGGAAAATATCTGCTTCTAAGTACAATACACAAAATTCTCTGCTTGATGTACCTGATGCCTACTTCAATTGAATTTGAGTTAAGCAACTGAACAAGACCAAAGAAGTGCGTTACATGAACGTCAACACTGGCTTTTCTTGAACACAGAGCTTGCAAAGCGATTTTTTTTGGGTCACACCATTTTTAGCTTGTGGTTTCAGTCCGTTATGCTCAAAATACTGTTTGATAGGATCTATGATGCTCAAAATGCTGTTGGAGCAAATAAAAAATGTGTTTGACTTTCTTTGGTTCGATACATCAGTTTCACAGGAGTTTTACAACCTCACAACATACCATAGGATTGAAGAGAAATGTAGTACTAATTTCTTTACATGTCTATAACTCTAGCTAATCTCAACGAAATTAGACAAGATTGCTGCAATGGGTTCAGTTCTCTCACTGCAGTGTTCATGTGAAAATCAGCCTCTAAAACCTTGTAGATTTCTGAAGGTATCACTCCTAACCTTGGCTTTTGGTAGGGTGAAAGTTTCTATCGTGAATGTATGTACCTTAAGGTAAAGGCATCAAGTTTGATGAATACGGATTTATTGCTGATAAGGCCACCTTGAGGTAGAATTCATCTCAAGCTATCTAACCTTGAGCATTTACGTCAAGGTACATTGTGGAATACGAGTTTTGAGTGATAATCCTGCCTCAACGTTCATTTTACCTCAAGGTAGCAATAATGAATACGGCCACTGGTTTCTGTTGATCAAAATCTAATATTCGAACGTTCTTCCACCTTTACAACATTGCAGCAGTGCGAGGGAACGTGACGAACAGTCTTTGCGTATGCTGCGTTTGCACACGCCTTGTTGCAAATGTCGCCTGCTCAGTGAACGGGCCCTAGCGATTTGGATTACGACGTTTTCCGGAAAACTTCATCGGTTCTCATGCTTGCAGCTGCGCCTACAGTGAAAACTGAGGTGAGTTTTGCTGAATATCTTCTAGAGTGGTATTTAGTGATGCTGCATTACGATAGTTCATGGAAAGAACTATCCGTATTAGTTGGGACTCGCAATGGTTAATTTTTTGAATGTTTGACCTTTCTTAGATTGCTTACTATCACATCATCACTGAGAGTATTAGTCGTTTTTACTTAGAAGGAAAATTCAAAAGTCAGGAAACTGATCGATCTGGCTCCAGTGTATCTCATCAAAATCATTAGAATCACATCTGGGATCAGTATAACATTGTTTTGCAGGTTGGAACCGTAGCAAATGTGGCGATTGAGGATCAGATATACGGCATTGTCCAATCATCTCCCGATGGCATGGACACGGACACTATCACCGCACTGACGCCAGCAGTTCCTGCATTGGATAGGCAGGTTGATCAATTGGAAACTTATTTATAGTCCTCATTTACCTTTATCGTTTTCTAATCTGCTCAGTTCATGGTTTACCCATCGAAAAAGTATGCGAAGATTGTCTCGTAGTAACATCTCAGGCAATGTGTAGAAACTTTCTATCCAGCGCATCCCTGCTCCTTTCTTGCTGTGTGCAATGCGACAGAAAGGTTATCTATCCAATTATGAGTTGCATCTAGACAGCTGCACTCGCCAGGCTCCATGTCAGGAGTCACGCCGCCCGCGCCGCTTCGCTGCGAACGTCGCGTCTAAATTTTGTACCCCACAGAACTGCCCGGTGCTAAAGTGGCACGGCGCCAGTCTAGAGGGGTGGGGGATGGGGGCAGTACATGGCTCGCATCATAAGTAAAACTGCGCCAGAAGTGCTAGCTTGTGTTTTGCTGACATCGCTCGCGGCATCGCTTCGCGAAAAATTCGCGCCGACCGTGACTCCTGACCGTCCCCCCACTCGCCATGGGTTGGATATTATGGACCATGCTTGATAAACCGAGCGTGGGCAAAGCCTTTTGAAGTGAACTTTCCTTATAACGCAGCACATCTTTCTATCAGATGCATAGGTGCGCAGTTTCTTAACATTTCAAATCGTCCTACCTAAGAAGGACCTATAACTCAAAGGATTCAGTCAGCTTTTGAAATATTATCTTCTTATTGCAATTCACGACGCAGTCCTTCAGTTAGGTTATAATTTATATCAACATTCTTTCACCAAATTAATCCGCAAGTCGTAAGAGCAAATACCATTGCATATAAGTTTGTCGAGCACGTGAAATGAAGCTTTAGGAGTTGATTGATATTCCCCATATCGTGCTGCAAATATTTTCCATTGAAAACGAGCTGTAAGCAAAAACGCATCCTCAGTTTGTAGTCATGATGCCCTTTTTGTGTCATTTCTTTCAGTGAAATTTTATGCTATAAGTTACCATTTCCAGCTACAAAGTATCACAGGTTCGATTTTTTTTGAAAAAAAGTTTTCATATCCGCATGCACTACAAATCTATAGAGAATTTGGCGAAATGTAGTCAATAAGGTGCTGGTTACTGTGAAAGCAATCTAGTGAGAAATATAAATGAACACTAACATCTCTTTTTCTTTATCCATTGGTACTGTACCAGCTTTTTCCATCATTATCTGGTAAATCTCAGATATTCAGAACGCCATCAATAATTTGCTAGTCACGAAAAGACTAGTGATTTCGAAAACACCAGGTGGCGCCTTGAAATTGAAAGTAAATACAAACACACAGTTGACGGGTGCTACCGACGAGGAACAAGCGGTGTGTTTGGAAAAACTTTTTCCTTTTACTTACGAGTTGTTGATTTTATCTTAAGATTTATACGTTGATAGAAGATTCGAAGCGTAAAGGTATTTGGATACGTGAGCTGCGCGATGGTTCCGGCTTATCTCAGATTCAACTGCGTAAAGTGCTAAAGTCGTTAGAACAGAAGAAGCTCATCAAAAATGTAAAGGTGGGTAGTCATTGGTAAAGGTTTGCGATTGTGGACATTCACTTTTTTGGCTGTAATCAGTGAACAGAAAGTTTAAACTGCCCTATCTTTTCCATTTTGTTCTGAAGGAAGATCAAAGATACATACTGTACCATTTAGGCAGTAGGTACAACGAAAAAATGTTATATGCTCTACGGTTTGGAACCGGACACGTCACTGACTGGAGGTAATGTGTTTGCCTATGCTTTTGAAAACTTGTTATGCAGCATTTAGGAACTTTCTATTCCGACCAACAGTTGGATTCCGAGCTTATCCATACCTTAGTCAATGTCTGCATTGGATATGTACAGGTGTGTTTGTAGCATTAGTTAGCACCTTATATTCATATTTTGGTTTTGTCTCTTTTTTTATCGGTAAAGAACACAAAGCCAGAAGAATTATTACACATTAGTTTTCTTTCCGATTCTATTGAGGACTTTGGTTAATTACATAAGAGGTTTGATGCGTGATGTTCAGGGACGACGAAAGCAAGCAGCTGACAATCATCCTGATGACATGCAAATGCAGAAGGAACTCAGCTCTGTGCGCCCGCAAGAGGTGTTTTTAATTACATTGGGAACTGAGCAAGTTCGTATCTAGTATCTGTGCATTTTGCAGATAGTAGATTTTGTCCTTGAAAAGCGAGTGCTGAACGTTAGTGTTACTCTTGAGGATATCGAGCGTATCTTGGATGTGGCAGTTCTTGACGGTGCTATCGAACGACGGCCTGATGGAAAGGTAAATTGATTGTTCATGATACAGTTTGTATGATTTTTTCAATATGAAATTGAAGTATTCAGTCATTCTGTGTTAGTCTAGTTTACCTGAAGGATTACGTTTGCGATAAATGCGTCTTTTCTCAAGATGATTTTTGTCAACGCTTATTTATGCACTAACAACAAGACGTGTTTAAGCTCTATTTTGAACCGCTCTTGTTTTCTTCTTGAGACATAGCTCACACTCTCCTTCCATTTACTCACTGATCTGAGCTAGGCAATAGTCTTTTCTATGAGATATTCCTGCTAAAACTGTCTTGATTTCAGGTCCGATCGACGTGGTCAACAACTCGTCCTTCTCCTCTGGTAACAGTACCTTGTTCAACATGCCCTGTAGTCGATGACTGCTCATCAGGCCATGTGATAAGTCCACAAACGTGTAGGTATATGCATGAATGGCTTTTTGGAAGTTGACTTTTTAGTTGGTGAATATAGTTATCATAGTTTATGAGTTTTTTTGTGCTACATAATTTATGATATAGGTTTTCATGCTTAATATAATTTATGGAGTGTTGAGGTCATTGTTATCTGCATATCATTCCGTTACTTGTTACATTAGTTTTTCTTCTTTGCTATCAAGCTGTTGATTACGTTGTTTCTAGATCGCATTACGGGCTTTGTTATGTTTGTTGAAAGCGAGAGTGCTTTTGCTGGAACAAAGAAACTTTGCAGACATGTGGTTGTGTGCACAACGAATTAAGCACTTACGTGGTAATCCTTGCGTGCTTGTAATGGACGCTGATCTTGCATTAATCAAATCCGCTACTTCAATACTGCGACAAATCGTCCCGTGCAAGAATATAAGTGAAACTCAAGTTTTTGATTTTTGCGTCAGCAATTCGCTGTGATTACCTCCCTTTTGTGCGAGTTCTTGCCCGTAGTCGGTGTCATATTGTGAGCGCTTCCATGCGGGCAAATAAAAAATGCTCAGAATATGCACGGCACAATTGATGTCGACGGGAGGACGCGTTAGCAGCTATAGTGTTCGTCACGCAATTGCAAAAAAGTCTAATTTCCTATCTTTTTCGTTTACATGCACATGCGTGACGTAAGAAGAGCTTCTTATGACTGAAATCCCGCTTATCTGCTTGCTGAAGTGGGTGGACTGTAAACAGACGAGGTGTTGCAGGGACAGTCTACGCATTTGCAGAAAGTAAATTATTATTATATGTTGAACTTATTTTATCTCTTATTTTTTTATCACTTAACTTCACTAACAAGTGTCATTTTGTGTGTCATTTTTTACCTCAATAATACATAAAACAGGTAAAAGATGATTTTTGAGGAGAACGCAAAACATGTGGACAGCAACAGGATTCGAACCCTCACCGGTCACCTGTGAGTCCGAGACGACACGACCACAATCTGAGCATTCGTGTGTTCTCTAGACATGCACACGCCAAAAACTTCAGAGGGCCATAACTTGCTTCACAATAACGCGTCGCAGCTAATGGACGCACATTTGATACTAACCTTCCGAGCCCCGCGTCCGGGTATATACCACGTATCAATCGGCCATTTCGATTCGGCGAACTTCCCTTGTAAGGAAGTAGTGATCATTTGTTGCTAGGGACATAAAATTACATGCAGTGCTTGACATCTCGAAGCATTTTATTGATCACTGACTTTGAAAGGAGACTTGGCACTTATTTTACATGTTTATTTATTTATTTACTAATACACTCTGGCTGCATCAAACAACAAACGGGAAAAAACGTTCAGGTGTTATCTGATCCAAATTAGTTATCTAAGCTATATCTGACAATGAGATAGCATTTCGAGGAGGTATCGTAATTTTTCTGCGTGGACCGAATTTGAGGGGGACTATTTTTTTAAATGAGTTGGGGCCTCCTCGCTGGACGCCCTACTTACATGAATGATTGATCTGTTTCTAGGACGAGTTCCATCATCCAGGAAGAGCAGGTTCCAAGTATAGATTAAGCTAATCTGCAGTGCACTTGTTCGACGAAACACTAGATTGGTCTGATCTGGTAGAACAGATGCTTTTAAGTGTGAATTTGATCTTTGGACATAGACGTCAGTTCCTCATGGTTCGGTGGAGGAAAGTCAAGGAGAGAGGAATGAAGGCTTTGAAAAAAAAATTTACCTAATGGTGAAATCGGATCGTACAGACATCTGCAAAAGAAAATCCCAAAAAGAAAGTACGAAAAAAATTTTTTGGTCAAAATTTTGCTCTAAATATGCTTGTAAATAACAATTCTAAATTCGTTATTCGTAAAGTCCTTAATTTGCCATCCTCTCTCTCCCCCTCCCCCTCACTCCTCTCCCCCGTATCGTCCCCTCTTGTGGCCCATTAAATTTCTTTCTGCTTCGGCTTTTCTCTTGCATCACACCGCAAGACTTTTTTTAATGACACTTCTATGAGAGTGGAAACATGTTTGATGACATTCGATACTAAGCTGCATCGCGTAGAAAAAAAATTTGTTTGGACAAGGGCAACATCTCGTGCAAACATTGACAGGGAGAAAATGTAAAGTTGATTAATTTTCTAGAAGGTTAGCTCAGAGAAAAAAAATTAGACTCAAGTTCACATGGTTTTATTTATACATTTTCTATGTTTTCTATTTACTTTACTTTTCTTTGCTCTTAAGTGGAGATTTTGTAACTATATTAGCTCATTCTTTTCATTTGAGCATAGATCCTCATGCTCAAGGATTGTTCAGAAGATGCCGCCTTTTAATTACGTAATCGAAAATTGAAGAAGGGATTTGCGCCTAGTTCCCGTAATGGGGATTTAACGCACATGCTGCGAGCTTATCGATCATCAATAGCATTTTCTGGAAATATAAGAAGTACGGGTAATTTTTTCGCTCGGCAAACACTAGATTATGGGTTTTTAAGAATCTATAAAATAAAACCAAAGTGTGCCGCCAAGCGCTCGAGGGCGGACATCGCTTGACGGAGGAGGAGGCGGAGTTTCACGATTTAGACCCATAGTATAGGTTCCTGAAAACCAATGTTTAACTCAAGGCGCACAGTTGGGGGTAAGTTTTTTCATTTTACTTTATTTTTTACCATTTGCATTATCTGGATGAGACTTACCTAAGCCTCCTGTAATGTTTCCTTGCTTTATCCCGGAAAAATCTGAGAATTTTGACACTTCTTTGAAACTTTTGCCCTTTCTGCTTAAATTTTTCTCATTTCCATTTACATACCCTTTCCTGACATTTAAATATCTTGAGAACTACTCTTCTGCCCGGAAATGTCCTCATTCGAAGACTTACATTGAGCTAAATTTACTTAATTTACCGGAAGCAGTGGTAAAATCCGCATTAACTCTAAAATTATTCGTTAGTCTTTTATAAATAGTGTACTGTAAACAATCCAGCCAACCAAACAAACTCGCGCTGGAGCATTTCTTGAGTGGATCACAAATAGAAACGATAAAGAGTCCAAAGACCATTGGGAAAGATGAGCTTCAGCACAAGCTGAAGAAGATAAGTGCTGGATGTAAAATTTAATGTGCGAAGATAAAATTTGTTAGTTGCCAGGAATTTCGGAAAAGTTTTAAGTAAAGTTTTTTCAAATACTAGCAGCACTTCCTTGTGAGCATATGCGAGAAGAAAAGGTTCTAAGATTTAGTATGTGTGAATCAGTTGTTCATTTCCCGTTTGGAGAATGAGGTGGCATGAGCATGAGCTCTCTTTTTAAGCGTATTGCAGCAGCACCAAGTGCTTAAACGTAAATATTGATAGAAAAAAGTTCAGTAAAAAAAATCCTTTACGTCAATAATGTATAAAATGAAAACGCAGAATTTCCAATTCACCATATTTGCATCAATATAACCATGAAAACTTTGAACCAATTTAAGATCTAATTTTCTTTTTAGCGCAAGATAAGAGAGTAACTCTTTATAAAAACTGGATAACATGAGCTACTAACACAATTGCTAAGGTACTAATGTATGCAGTTTTTTTGAGCTTTTCCCTTGTCCACAGAATTTTGGACAGAACTCACTATCCATCTCATAAATTCCGGCTTTTTTCATAAAATCTCAGGACGCCTAGAGGTATGTTATATTCAATAGCTCACATTTGGGTTTCTTATCTTCCATTCGTTCTAAGAAAACATAACACTGTGAATAGATAAAATAGTAAAGTGTAGGTTTTTATTTTAATTGGTCTCAATTGCTTCCTGTTCTATAATATATTTTGAAGTGCATTACTTTCCGCGTTCATACATTTGGATTTAAACAAAACTAATTTTGAAAGAGGTCTGAACAGAGGTCAGGATTATGTTACATTTCCTCACTGAATATGGTTTCGGAAGTGGAAACAATGTCCAGGCAGATTAGTGAGAATAGATGTTGATATTTATCATTTCCCTTGTTCATAAAATTTTAAAGGCACTGCACTTTGTGTTTTGAAAAAATTGATTTTTTTGCAAGAATTTACAATGAGAAGGAACAGACGCATAGAATTATTTGTTATCTAGTATCTTAGATTTGTTTTCTCGCATCACTTCCTTGTTCCCGGAAAGGTTAAAAATGATTTAGTGTAGGTTTAAAACTTAGTTTTTTGAAACTTCCCTTGTATAATAGAATTCTAAGAAGCGTTGCACTTTGCTCCTCATAAATCATTTATACATTCAGAAGTTGATAATGGGGATGGGATAGACGCATAATTTTACATTATCTAATGCATTAGATTTGTGTTTCTTAATTAATTCCGGGTAAGGAAAACGAGCTCTAGTTATATACTGAAATTTTTGAAGTAAGTTTGTTTGCCCACCAAAAAATCAATTTTGCTCGTAATTTAAGGGTAAGGGAAAGCAATTATGTAATTAGTTGTACTTTTCGAATGTCAGATGTCAAGCTCTTTGCTGTAAAGGGACGAATTGAAGCTGAAGTTTTGCCGTTTTAAACTTTGCTAAACTTTGGTTTTCATAGAGTAGAATGAGTGTATTCAGAGAATGAAGTGAGATCAAGGGAGAACAAAAGGTAAAGTGTGTATTTGAATTTCACACGCAACCGTTTCGGACCTAAGAACTAGACTGGTATTGTAGCTTTCTTGGGCCGCCTATCATCAGTAGTTCCCAAGAAGCAGCGAAAGTGTTGGGTTTGTGTTTTTTCATATTTCAATTTTTGGCGGGATCTCAATAGTTTTGCTTTTGGAGGGACTCGTAGAATTGGCCTATCATGAATTCACAATTCAGTACTTTCATGAATTTTTTAAGTTCCATAATGAACATCTTAGTCTGAAATTTTTTTGTGCGCAGAAAAAAAGCTCGGTTAAGACAGTAAGATTGAGCATTTCAATGCAAAAATGGCTTTCTAAGCAAATACGAAGAGCACAAAAAACAAAGTGACTTCAAAAGATTTTTTAATATAAAGTCTGGAGTTTCTATTTTCTTAGTACAAGATTTTCTAAAGCTAAGCCAGACCCATTACAGTATCCATATCTGGAATATAAGATTTCCATATGTGATAAATAAATTCACTGTATCACTAAAAATGTCACGATTGCATGGAAGAGCTTGCGTGCGATTCAAACATGAATCATTTACTTTTTTCGATCGTGCTTATGCACACAGAAATGTGCACCAAAGCAGATTTACACGATGTCAATTCCACTAGCCGGATACTTTGGAGGAAACATGAGAAGCTGGGATTGCTTTTCAGCAATCCAAATTTCAATACAAAGCCAGTTCGATGTAAAATTCTGTAGTTTTCTCTGAAATAAACTAAGGTATTATTTTCTGCCCAGATCTGAAATTTCTGCAGATTTTTTTTGCAAGTTATAATCAATAAGGCAGAGGAACCCAGTTTTTATCCTTTCATCTTTCGCAGCTTTAAAGCTCGACAAACGTCACTCGCATAGCATGCGATTGATAGGTGTGCAACCCTTTTGCTCCCTGTCTCATGTCCTTTCTCCCCTTCCCATCACTCAAAAAAGCTAAAAGCTTAGAAGACTTCCATAGTAAAGTAGATCAAGGGCTAAAATCTAAAAAGTAATTTTTTTCAAATCCAAAATGTAAGGTTTGTGAGATTATCCATGACTTTGCAGCGGTACTTCTCAACATTTTGAAAATTGTGATGACCTAGTTGGGTTTTGTAATAATCAAAATAAAAGCTGTATTCTAAATCATATTCTTATTTGTTTTTAGGAAATATTAAGTTGGAAGAAAAGTTTTGTCGCACCATTTTCAAAATTTCATAGCTTCGTGATGTTAATTCTACTTCAAGAAAGTAATCATGTGCTTTACGGCTGCATGTACCACGATCCCCGATACGCGTATCCTCTTCCCCCCCCCCCCTCCGAGAATGGGTTGCGAAATTTCTGAAAATTGTCTACATGATTTTAGAAAAATGCATAAGTGTCTTGTTTATATATGTATATGTATAATTGTTACTTTGTAAAGAAAGTTCCCGGGCAGTTTTGGAAATTTCATTTTCCATTTTTTTCGCACTCAGTTGAATCACGAATATTTTATATGATTCTGTAGGAAAAAGCCTAAGCTTTCAGGACCTCGCACTCAATTTTTATCGATGACAAGCCATGTTTGACATACACACCAAAAAAGGAAGTTTGTGCAACGATGAAAATTTCACATTTTTTCTTCTTGCTGCCATTTTTTCGTAGCGAACAAAGAAAACCATTCAAAGGTTGGTCACTCTAAATAAGGAGGCTGTCTACTTCAAAACCGCGGCTGTGCTCGGATTTTACAATGCGCGCACAAAAATTACAAGCTCTCAAACTTGCTTTTGACCGTACCTGTTTTCACAGTCGGAGTCGATTTTGGAAGGATCGTCACGCCTCGGTGATGGGCCCAAAAAGTGTGTGCAACATTAACCCAACAATATTTGCAGCAGTCAAGGGTTTGATTCATTCCGAGGAAAAAAGGAAGACTTCAAACTCATTTACTCAAAAACTGGGTCATTTTTGAGGTGCAAAAATGGCCGACTTTTTGTTTTTTTTCGAGAATTTTTTGCACAGGCTGAGCTCTAAAATCGTGACACAGTCTATAAATAGAGTAGAGTTTCACATAACTACCAGATATGAGCTCTCCAGCTCTCTTCGTGCCTGAGAAAATCTTGCACTAACAGGCAGGATTTAAAGTCGACCTTTTCCCTACTGCCAATGCTGGTGGCCGGAAATGAAGCGTTGAGGATCCAAAAAATTGAGCATAACTTGTAGACAACATTGTCTTTGCAGCGACGTTTGCAGCTTTCAAAAAGGATCAATCTGCTTGAAGTTAAAGCAGTTTGAAAAAAAATTCGCAAGTGCCCGGGAATTTTCTTTGAAACCTAATAAAATAAACTAAAATTTCTCAAAAATCAGAAATAGGTTTTTGAGGAGTGGCTGCCGTCTCCTGCCACTGACACGTAGAGGGTAGAAGAAAAACACTCAAATGTTTTCCTGCGTTGATCACGAAAAACCTAAAACTTGCAACAAAAATGAGAACAGTCAGTATTGAAAGTATATCTTGACCCGTCTCTATCAGGTAAACGAATTTGTTGCTGATTGAACGTCTCTGGAGATAGTTATGATTTTCCAAAGAAATGTCAAAAAAATCAGATTTGCTTTCCTATACTGCATGCTCAGAAACACTACTTTTTGCAGAGAAGTTCAAGCACAGATTTTGCTCAACTAAAAAACGCAGGTTAAGAAATCTACGATACTAACTGCTTCGTTTTTTTTGCAATTTCAGATTTTTTATGAATAAACACGGGAAATAAAATTTGGAGCCTTTTTATCGCTTCTATCTAAATAATATGTGCACAATGGGAAGCATGATGCAAACGCTTATAAAGCGCATGGTCTCTTCTTCTAAATAAAATTGGATGCATGCAAATCGTTGAAAAATTGAGAAGATATAAATTTTGAAAGCGGTGCGACGGAGCTGTCGTTCCGATTTAATATGAAGATTAAGCTACGCTTTAGAGCCTTTGACGCCATTTTTAATTATCTTCGAATAACTCTAAAACGATAATGTGGAAAACGAATAGCTTGACTTCCAGTTAGGATATGTGAATTGTCGTAAAAGAAAATTATGCAGATCTTATATGAAATCCAAACATTTCCAAAACACAACACTATTGCGAATTAGCTCATAAACATAGGTTCAGTCTTATAAATGCCAACAATTCTGAGGAGTATATATGGAAAAACTACCTTGTTTACTGCTTTTTTTCGACAGAATTATAAGTTAAAAGCCGAAGTTACATTTCTCACACCAAAAAAATTTTGCAGTGTACAAGCATTTCTATATCTCAACACGAAATCAAGAAATAAAAAAATCAAGAATATAATAAGGATCGCGAGTTGATGGGGTAGGATAAAGGAGACGGTTTTGTTTCACTGATACTTCTAAAATCATTACACTCTAGAATGCACTTCAATATTTGATAGAACAACGGAAAAAAGCCTGATTTACCTGAATAAAAACAAATGAGGAACCAACAGTAACTGAGCACTAAGCTCTCGAAAATCTTTCATCACACTATGAACAAGTTTTTTCGAAGAGAGATACGTGACAGTCAGCTCTAATATCTCTAATGCGCAGACAGAATCGGCTTGTGGGAGAGAAGTGACAAAGGTTTAATCCGAGCTTAGCAGATATCTTGCGTCAACTGCCCCAACGGGCAGAGCATAGCTCTTCCCGTTGCCCCCCACACACCCAGGCATATTTTCACTAAGTAGCCGAGAGACTTTCTCGGGTGTAGGCATAAGTGCTCTACGTGTGCTGCTGCGTCCGGCACACATTCCTTCTCGGCATGCCTTCGCCAGAAGCCACCACCCAGAACTCCAAAGACAGCGAAAAACAGCTGCTACCTGGCGGTAAGTGCGAAAATACTCATATACAAGTGGATGTTTTGAAGAGATAATATAGTGGTCAAATTTGGTAGAATTCCATTTCATTACATGTTAGTTTGGTAGTATCAAACCTGAGGACATTTTTATTGATGATTTTTCTGAGTTCTTTTTTTATTCCTGATCACTATTGTCTAGACTTTTTGACTAGTCGATGGCGCACTTATGGTGCCATAAACAAATTAATTAATTAATAAACAAATACAGTACGATCCGCGTGCTTCCTTATTGCTTCACAATCTTCTGCACTGTTGAATTCGCTTTCGTTCAGTGTAATTGTACAATGGTCTATAATACAGCAGTGCTATCTCGAAGATTTCAAAATCATTTCCCTGTTTACTCTTTTGTAATCAATGTCTTGGCAGATGGATTATATACTAAAGGGGATTAGCGGCTTAAATGTATTATTATTTTCTCTGCAGCACATCAGACTGACAAAACAAACTTCCTATCGTAAGATTACAAATTTTTATCGAAATTTCAACAGTGATAGGGTTCAAAAAACCCCAAAATAAAGATCATCACTCATTTATTTTTGAAAGCTTGATTGACAGAAGTAAAATAACAAGGTATTAAATTCTGTCCTAATATTTACCTGGTCTCTAATATTGCTCATTTATACTTGGTTCAGTCATTGTGATCAAAGCTGTCGTCACAATCTAGTTTTGTTGGTGTAATTGCACAATAGCTCGATTTTTATTGTCCTTTCAAGCTCGGTACAAGTGTTTCTTTTTTAATTTCTCATTAAAACATTTAATGATGATTTATTTAATCTAGTTTTGTTGGTGTAATTGCACAATAGCTCGATTTTTATTGTCCTTTCAAGCTCGGTACAAGTGTTTCTTTTTTAATTTCTCATTAAAACATTTAATGATGATTTATTTGCCTTTCATAATATTACAATATGGGCACCCAAACAAACTGATCCATTCTTTTAACGTGAGTTATCTTACTCTTACCAATTGCAAGTACCAAGCTTCTTCTGAAATTCGTCTCTCCATCGGTTAGGGCCAGCATAGTCGTGTTCTCTGCAGGGCTTCTTGCAGTTCATGTAGTTGGACTTCGTTTGGCAGGCGTCTCACGTTGAATATTCCGATGCGTAAACAGTCGTTCTTAGGATGGAACATACTTGATCCTGCTGTTCCGGGGCTTCCTGCATCAAGGGGGTTCGTCGTTCGGTAGGGTGGGGAAGAGTGGTCAAAATGACCGACCAGTCGAGGGACGTGTAGAAGATGAACTCCAAACATTTAATGTTTGGGTTAACTTATCTGTAGCCAATGCTTTGGGAATTACGGTGTTTATTATAATTCAGGCGCCTTTGTCAAAGAAAATATGTACTAGATTTCATGCGCCTTCATCAAAGAAATATGTATTAGATTCTTCATTTTATTTCCCGTTGGAAAAAGGGCAGTCTATCAAGTGCTTGAAGAATACATTTGTCAACATGTCATCCATTCGATGCTTTTGCGCCCCTCTCCGATTTTACCTGAGATTGACAAAAGTGATACACCTACACACAAAGCTTTGGGAGAGGGGGGGGGGGGGGGGGAGAGAGCAATGCCATCTCAGATTTTTAGGAAAATATAAAAAGCCAAAATACTGACAATCAAGGAGTCCTAAATTTGCACCTCCACTTGAAATCTGATGAACTGAAAACGAGCGTTCGTAATCAGGCCGCTTCCCTCTTTTACGCTATTATTATGCTGGAGCTGCTTGAGCCTGGGTCTTTGAAAAAAAAAACGTCTAGTTCACTTTTCAGTCAATTTATGAGCAAAAACTAAATTCTAAACTACATTACAGGGATCTCAGACGAAGTCAAAATTAAGACGCAAAGGAGAACATAGGGTTTTTAGACAAAACTATTGTAATGTTTGCAGTGACCTAGCGGCGCTTGTACTGCAGATTTTCTTCGATGTTTTTCCCAGATCTGAATACATTAGAATAGGCTAGTAAATTTAACAATTAATGCAGTGTTTTGCGTTGCTGACAACATCTGCGCGTAGACAATGTGTGCGCCCTATGGCTATTTTTTGCGCGCAACTTGCAAGCAGATTGTCGGCATTCACAAGCGAAACATTTGCTGCCGCGCAAATGTTGTCGTCACCGTAGGGGCACTATATTGAGCCATATCACTAAATTCTATGTATGTATATTACATGGGTTTGCTACTGGCTTCTTCCAGTGCACCGACATCATTCTGACGAAAGTTATCTGTCATTATGAATGTGCATAAATGTCATTTCTTTCTGCTAATGTTGTCATAACGTAATACTTTTGCATTTAGAAGGGACACAGCACGAAGAAGTAAAGTACCATGCAGACGTCGTCGGTGTCACGCTAACCAGGTGAGCATTTTTCATTCGTATGTCACGACATCGTGCAGACATCTGAGAATTTCCTGGTTTTTTCTTTCTCAAAAGAGCCATTTCAAACCGCCAATTAGCTGGCATTTCTAAGAGTTTGAAAGGAGCAGTGGGAAAACAGCACTAGCTATTGAGAAAAACCTAACGGAAAGCACCTGGACTATAATGGAAGTCTTGAAAATCGAAGAGGGCTCCTAGACAGAGCTTAGAAGTTGCATTTCCCCACATTACATGATTGCTTCATTCTAAAAGTTGACTTCGAAACTTTTTTCGAGAATTTTCCGCGCTTTCTACCACCTCCTTCCGTGAATGCTCTCTATTTGTCGACGTCAAATAAATTCGTTGAAAATGCACATCACTCATCTGCCAACGCCTCTCTTCCAAAGTTGTTGCAAAGCCCAGCTGCCAAGCGTTGTTCTTTCTTACACATGTATTCTATCGATTCAGATTTATCCCACTTATTCTGCGTCTTTTGCTTCTAAAACGTTTTGGGGCCCCATTATTGGAAAAAAGTTGGTGGGGACAATTTGCTTCCAAGTCCAGTCGACTAGTGTTATGTCCATGTCGAGGTGAGCTTGCCATAAAATGTGCTCGCTTTTTTTTCTTTCGAATTTTGCGCAATTAGTCAGCAACCGTTTTTCCAAACCTTCATTGAATACTTTGAGTACAGTGAAACTTTGCCCAAAATGTTCAAATTCTTTACTTTGTTGGGATACAATTTGCAGGGATAGGCCATATTATAGTATTATACTTGCATTTTAAATTCAAATTCTTCTTCTGCAAACTTTGCAACCTTACATACAGAATTTGCCTTAATATTTTAGAATATCCTCGCAAGAATCTCAGTTATGAGGTTGAGTTAGAGGCTTAGGTCTTCAATAATCACTAATTAATGGATATTTATATAATTGGCTTAGTCACTTTGTATCTTCGCCTGGAAGGTAGTTAAGTGCATACGGTAGCTGAATTACCGTCCAGCTACCGTATCTGCCGTTCGCCTACCGTAATCCATTTGATATCTCCATTGATGTGACTCCCTCCAATTTATCCGATTGTCCGAACGTCATTTTGCACAAACACCTCTTCAGAGGGTATAAAAAAGTTACCGTATACCTACCTAACCCTACAAAATTTGAACGTTTTTCATGAAGCCATCACAACTATACAGTACTAGTGTTGTTAGCTAGTGTTGATCTGGTTATTACAATATTGTGTTTAGTGCTTTTTGCGATTCATGGTCTTGCTCGTCCATACCGTACACCTACCGTAATCTAACAAAAAGAATCTCGTCATGGACTGCTAGCGTGTCCAGTGAAACTTCTGTACGAAACCTTAGCAAATTTGTAATAGCATAAAGTAATATTCATTTAACTTCTTAACTTTTGAACTAAGCATCTCTGGTCATAAATAATGGTACTTGATTTGAACTCATCTTCAGCTCATATAATATCCATTTTGCAGTACTATTACCATACTGCTGTACCAGAACAAGTTCATCGATTCTTTATATGTCCTCATAAAGTCCTCAAGAACACCTTGACTAATTCAAATCAATCTGTCCCGCTTGCATTTGTCAGTAAACGATTATCACGAAAGAGGAAGTGAATTAATGTTATGCCCTTGAAATTAGGTCTGAGAATTTAATCCAAATCATCGAATAGGTCTTATCTCATCTGCGGAGGAGGGGATTAATTATTTTTGTCACTTTGAGTCCTTGCGTGCGTCATCGCTCGGCATCCGGATTTCGCGCCTTTGGAAGTGGAAGCTTGGAGAAAAAAAGAAAAAACAATTCAGCGTTTTTACACGATTTTTCAAGACCACATCAAACTTCAAATGATTCTTGAAAGTAATTCTGAGCAAACTCTTTATCAATTAGAAACATCAACGTTGGAGCTTAAAAAATAAATTATCAAAGCCTTTGATAGATTATCAGACAATGCCTAATTTGTTCTATAGAAATGACAAATCAGTTCTTTCTCGAGCAACGAACTTCGGGCACTTTCTCTATAGCTTGGATAATTCGCTTTAATTAAGACTTTTTCGGTCATGAATAAGTCACTGTTTCTGCTTTGCAGCTTGTTGCGAAGACATGGTGAGAAAGAGATGAACGAACATAACACTGGTATTTCATCAAGTCTGCTATTCTGATAGGAAAAGGGCCTAGAAACTCTGAAATTTTTTACTCTTATTCTATAGGTTTACAAGTCGCAAAAACTGCAATTCTGCCAACGCTTTGCTTCCAAGTCATTAGAAATGATTTATCACCCCATATCCGCTTTACATTCATCTTGTCCTTATCGTTTCCTGGCTAAATGTACGTGCCCCCCTTTTTGAGCCTGTCCCATAACAAGAAGCACGAGTGAGGAAAATACAACAGGTACCAGTCCAAAGCGCCGCGAAGCGGCGCTTTGGACTGGCTGTGTGTGGAGTGGGATGTGTTCAAAAGTTAAAAGTTCCAGCTCTTGTAGCGTGCCTTTATTTTTGTGGCTTACCTTTTCCTAGCCAAAAAGTATAGCACTAATTCTCAGGCATACTTTTACATAGAAAGTAGTGATTAGTATTGAGTAAGTTTCCAGCAATTTTAAAAAGGAACGAAAACTCTTAGCTAATTTGCGCACAACTCGCTTTGTTAGCGCAGCCTTCTGTTACTCTGTTTCGGTACCCCGTAGATGCTCCTGATTTTTGAAGACCGTTCCATAGTAGCTTTTTCTCCTTCTTAACCGCTACAGAGCGCTGCAAACGTTACCATCTCATGGGCATCGTTTTTAAGGCATCCTGAGTTCAAAGCCAAATCTCGTTTCCCCCATCTCTCCCCCTCCCCCTCCCTGCCACCCACCTCTGTCGATAACCATCATTTCTTCTACTCTGGAGCTTTTCAAAACTTTGAAGCTTTTTTCTAAACAAAGTTCTTTACATCCTTCGCTTTAGCCTTAGGTTCAGGGTTTCCTTTCTCCAGATCTGTCCTCAAAGAAATTGAAAATAGTGTATTTTATCTATAATCCCTCCCTTTCCCCCTTACCCTCTCTCCGCGATACTGTTGATTTCAGGATTTTCTGAGGAGGACTGCAAATGAATTTAAGGAAGTTAGAATCCGCTCCCAATGTTTGAACTGCACCAATGCCCTCCCTAACTACTAAGTCCCCAAAAAACTGCTCACATATTTAAAAACTCCAGTCTGGCTAGTTACGTAACTCACCACTACTCAAATTTCCGTCCACTAGACTGCCTATGTCTAGATAACGAATCTCTTATCGATAAACGAATAATCGAAAATTTACTACTTTTAAAATTACAATAAAATTTCCCAGAATTTTATTCCCGTATTCGCATGGCCGTTCTTATCAGTAATGCTAACTTGCAACACACATTAATTTATAACCATCCACAGTTGAGAATTCAAGAACAGATTAGCGCCCAAAAATATTAATTCAGTCGTATGCACTCACATTCTAGATCGCGTTCATAATCTTTTTGAGGTGATGTTCAGAGATTTGGCCTTTTCCGAATATTTCAGCACTAAGTCAGCCAAAGAAGCTCTATGTAATTGATTGCGGTCTATGCGACTTTCGACTCGATAGCACTTTCCGTACGTACTGGAAAATTCAAAAAGTTCTGAGATTTCCACTATATGCAGACAGAACAAAGTTTCTTAAGCCTTAATCTGAAAAGCTTCAGAAGGTCTGAGGCTTTCCAGGTTTAGGGCTCAAGAATACTAAACAAAAGTTAATGATGGTTATTCTCACGCAAGCAATTACAGATTCTATCATTCGCGAACTGCGGCGGGTTAAGCGGATTTTGTGCTTGATTTTGTGAAAACTACCAAAAGAAAGATGCCTTCGACGTCAGTGTTGTACTTTGCTGCATGGGTTGTATAGAATATGATGATTCTTATAAATTAGGTTTACGACAAAAGAGAAATAACATTTTTCCCTTTTCTTGCATAAAGAGAAACATATGATGACAACATGGCATTAGGAAATCTAGTTCACAAACTGAGAATCACACCATTCTTTTCGTAATCGTGACGCAAAAGGAGAGCTGTACTTAGTGCATTGTGCTTCTCAATTGAAGAGTTGTATAGCATTCTTAATTACCTGGACTATGATTCATTTGACAAAAATAGGCTAATTCTGTCTGGGATTTTGGGATTTTATTCCACACATAATTGTGGAATAATAGCTGTTTGAATCACTTTGAGCTGCGTTGCACCTTCAAGTTGTTTATACTTCTCCGCTTCAAACAGAGATTTTGCAATCTTATGGGGGTCAGTATCTACCTGATTTACTTTCGTGTAACTTAACACATTTCCAGCTGAGGTTATTGCTTTTCATTAGAAAGGTCAAACGATTAAAGTCTTTTTGAAAAACTTTGAAAAAAACATTGACTTCACACTTAGATTTCATTGTGATTCATCAACCCTACTCAGTTGTCCACATTTTGAAGCTTTTTTCGCCACAAAAAACGTGAGTGCGCTAACGCCCAGATTTTTTCATGTTTTTCACATTCGTCTTCAAAGCTTAATTCCTCTAACTGAGACATTCTCCATTCTAATAAATAATTTGATGGACAATTTGCTTGAAGTGAGCACACTTACAATGCACACCGTCCAGTCTTTCCAGGATTGTGGTCATTGTGAAAAGCTTTTTTACAGCTCTAATCTTATCCCATTCTGCATCGATGCAAAGCTTATTTTCTCAGAACGTGGGCTGATATCACATCTCGCAAAAAGGGATAGTTGCTGGCATTTGCTACAATTTCAAGACTAGAAATTGGATTTCTAGAAAACATCTCTCTTTTAAAAAAGAGCGGTTGGGTTCTTTGCTAGGGAATAACGGAATAACTTCACTTACTTAAAGTAAAAACCTTATGAATGTTTTTGAAAACTGAAGTGCTTCAGTGAAACTAGAAACTGCACTAAATCCGCTTTTTGCCATTACTAAAAACTAGAGCTTTTTACTTTACAAATCGTTTGCTTTTTCTTTCCAAGAAGACCCAAATCTAATGCCGACTCGAACCCCTCAAGAGAAAAATGATCAGAAAAAACAAGGTCTTCGATGTCTTAAGGCTTCCGTGGAATCCAATCTCCTCCTGTGCAATTACGAATCACATCAGTGGTTTTTTTGGAAACCCACTTTCGCATAAACACGCATTAGATTGCACTAACAAGGGAAGTCACTTAACTTAGGTCGGGCTTTTGAAATGAGACACATATGGTTGGAATCAGCTTGAAACGCTAATTTAAAATCTGCTTTCCTTAGCTGCGAAGCGTTCCTCTGAAGCGAGTTATGAGCTTTTTCCTGAGCAAATTTTGCGTGCTGACCGACTTAGGCATGCTACGGTACCATCATCTAGGTAGTGGTTCAAATGCATATTATACTCTATCCAAGCCAAATGACTCAATTTGATGTTATTTTGATTTTCCACCACTTTTTGGGCAGATTTTCATCTAAAGACCTTCTTTTCATATTCAGTTGCATGTCAATGACACATACTAAAAAAGCTCATAACTCGCTTCAGAGAAACGCTTCGCAGCTAAGGATAGCATATTTGGAATCAGCGTTCCGAGCTGATTCTAAATATATGTGCCTCATTTCAAAAGCCCGACCTAAGTTAAGTGACTTCCCTTGTAGGTAGTTTTTACGAGGGTTAGTTGATATCTATGCACAGGTTAAGCTGCATAAGTAAATATGCAAATTGCTGGATTTTTTTGGATGCTCTCAAGTTCAATCAGAGCTCATCGGATATGATGTCATTCCTAGTTTGTGTTTCCATTACGTTCCTGCAACACAGAGAAAATTACGGAAGTGTTTGCAAAGTGCAGCTTCCACTTTCTGCAACAGCGCAGCAATGCCTAGAATTCTCAAGAAATGCGACATAGCTGAGAAATTGACTGAGGACATTGCTTTTCTGCCTTTTGCGGAGATTTCGCTGGTCTTAATGACATATATAGTGCAAATGTCTAGGTCAGAATTGTTTCTTACAAATTTAACATGATTTTGAATTTCCACAAGAAAACCCAAGTGTTGTTTGTTAGGTTGATGTATATCGTTTTACAATGCGTATCCTAGCCATTCTTCAATTTTAAATTGTTCCCCCCCCCCTCCCACAAAAAGCATTGGTTAACTTTTGAACGTTCGGAAAACCAACCTCATAATAGTTGTAATTTAGGAGCATTGAATGGCTTGCAAGGCAAGAAAAAATTATCTTCCGAGACATGATTCAACGACTTCGTAAGTCTTTGAGCAGGACTCGGCGAGAGCACACCAGCGAAAACGAAAACAATATCGCCTTTGCTTTTTGTTCCAAAAACAATATCCAGCTTGACCCGGTGCCAGGTGGGCCGGGCCCTATTTCTAAGTCCAACGCAAATTTTTTGTGCAAAAATTAGCCACAAAGCCATCATCTGTAATGGGTACCAATGTAGAATCTTTGAAAGTTATTGAATACTATAATTTGTAGCTTTTCTCGTTCATCTCAAGTGCTATAGGTGAAAAGTAATGATATTGAACGATTTATTTACTTTCCTAGTGTTTATAATGTGCGATGTCTTATCTTGTTAATTAGAAAGTTTTGCGCTTTTATAGAGACGTTTTAAAAATTCAGAATAACAGAAGGAAGTAAAAAAGTGTACTTCTGAGCTTTCTGATCCTTCATTTTATCTTACTAATTTCACGAGTTCAGGGTCGAACTGATTTTCGCGATTGGACTGTACGTGAGCGCCATGGCATCGCTGCTGTTTCTGTTCGAGATGATTAAACCGTCGATAGCCGGGCTTTTCTAGCTACATGCCCGAGCACACCCTTACGTTCTTCCTGTCTCACTGCGAAGTTTCTCCACAAAGTCAAATACAGCACAGCAGAGAAGATTTTTGCGTGCGTATGGATATTTCTATTTTCTTCAAAGCGGAGATCCTCCTCAATGCAGGGATTATATTACTGTTTAGTTTGATTGGTAAGAAGCCCTAATTAGAGTCAATGCGGGTTAGAAGAAGACATGTAAGCAACTTAACTTGAGTTCTATCTTGATTTGATGAGGTGAGGATATGCTTTTGATCCTGACCACTCACTTTTTTTTCTATTTACCCCTTTGATCTATCTTTGTTAGAGGAAAATATTTTGTTTTGAGACACATAATGCGTTGATTTGAAATGTTAGGGGAAGACCAAAATCTATGGTTTTTGCATTTTTGCTCGAATGATTGTGAACGAAGTGGAGCAAAGAAACAAAAAAATTCTTCTTGAGACCAACGAAGTTTTTTTTATATTTTTCTACCAAACAGGATATGTCCGTAACCAACTTTTGAATGGAATTGGACCATATCTTTGCGGTTTTCATCATTAATCAGGTTTTTTCTTCTACTCTTCCAGAGAAATAGGTATAGAAATAGTTACAGTCCATTGACGATAAATGTCAAGATACAACGTGAACGGGTTGTGCATTTATACTAGTAATTTTTTACACTGTTATCAATTGTAATGTGCCTTTGAATGTTCTGTGTGTTTATTTCTTCGAATAAATTTTCTTACAACCATAGAGCTATACGAATTACCCAAAACCAATGACAGAAAAGAACTATACAGACAGATATCACAGTTTCGACAGAGCTTAGGGCTGGGGTTGGTCACCTTGCGGAGGTGGTTGCTGCTCATTATTATTGTTGTTGTTAGTAGGTGCAGCTGAGGGGAAAACAACCCGCTGCAGCTGGTTGCCCATACGTTGTATAACATCGAGAAGGTGCTCCTCCTAAAGCGACAAGTTTTTTGGTAAAAAAATATCTTGATTAAAAAAACAAATGGATGATTATGCCACTTACGCTGTCAAAATCTGGCAAAATCGAGTGCAGAAATCCAGAGAAGAAATTGTCTGGTCTTTGTACATTTACCGGTTGTCGCGTATACCTAAAATGCTGTAAATAACACTGCAAACACCAGGGTAATGACTATTTTCACCTCGCGCGCCCATTTGCGGGTGGGACAGGATCAGTTACGCTCGAAGACGAACTCTCCAAACCGAGCAGCACTGCTAGCCGACGCACATTCGGTGGTGCACCAACAAAGACGCGTTGCCTCCTGTTTTTGGTAATTATTTTAGATGAAAAAAGAGAGAAAAAGAAAGGTAGCTTTCTCACAATTTTAGCTGCCTCTGAAAAAAGCAAGGTTTCAAATAAGTATCATGATTGTTTCTGACAAGACACTGTGAGTCATTAAAGTTTTAAATCCTTTTCATCTCATAGTATATCCAAATATGAAACCAAGAACTAACTTATAGAGTACTTAGGATGCACAGGATAAACTGGTTCATGCGTAAGTCAACTGTTATAAGATCAACACAAAAACGAAGTAGGTCTAAACCACTCACTTCTCCTTCCATTTATCCATTTCCTCCTGACACTCCTTATTCTGAGCACAGTCTCTAGTAACGGTCTCCAGCCATGACAAAGTTTCTGGAGCTTTCCATAACTCAGCAGCTCCGTTAACGTACATTTTGAATACAAGCTTCAAACCATCATTCTCCCTAAAAGTTGCTAATGCGGATCCTTATTGTTAGATATAGAATATGACATACTTATTTGCACCAATAGTTCCCATATGTCGATGCATTTCAACGGTAGAATCCGCTTCAACTTGCATTTTGTCTAACAGAAAGCTGATGACGCCGGGGAAAGCACATATGGCATGTGTTAGCTAAAAAAATTCGTATTATATGAATCTCGAATATGATGGAACAAAGACCACCATTTCATCAGCGACAATGAAGTCCTCATCCGTTTTTGAATCAAGGAACTGCGCCAATGCCATAGAATAGCAGAAATTCGGCAACATATCCAGATTTTTCCATTCCTGCAGTTGACAGCCATTAGTTCACAAAACGTTTCTTCACTGCATACCTTGCAACAACGGTAGAAGTCTTTTAACCATTTATACTGCTTGGCTTTGATAGCGATAGTATCGATGAGCAACAGTATGGCTAGAGGATCTCCTAAACGTAGCAGTGAAAAAAAAGTAATCAGAATAAGCGTCTACTAAGTAAAGCGCCCTATGAATAGCTCAAGGACTTACTTTGTGGATCCATAGTCAATATCAGCTTCGCATAATTCAGCGCAGTTTCGAAGCATCTGCAAAGGGAGGATAAGATGACACTCTCTAAACTGCTCATTCTCACCTTTTGTGGACACAATTGAGCATATGCCGGTGCAAAAGAAGGTAGAAGGCTCGATTTTCATAATCCAGGTAGTCTATGCGGTGGTAAAAAGAGCTTGGTTGGAAGGTGCTAGCCATTGACTGTTCACAGAAGAATATACCGCGTTCTGGAAGTTTGAGGATCAATTCAAAAATCTTTATTGGAAAACAAATCTTATGAAAATGTTTCAAAGTTTGTTATTACTTCGCCTCAAAAAACAATCGCCAAAGTGAACCGGAAGCAGCTTTCAAAAATGCTAGCGAGATATGCGAACTACAAAACTAAGAGGAAGAAAAAAAGAAATGAGATAGAAACTAAGGAGATGATTTACTTCGGGAATAATTGTAAGGCTACTTCAGATCTCAAACTTGACTCACCAATAAAGTCGCATGACGCAGTGATATCTTCCTGCATTCGAAATACGTTAGCTAACAACAACAGAGAATTCAAATGATATGGATTGTCTGCTATAATCTCTTGTATCAGTTCGTGATCAAAGGAATCCTCAGAAACCCAGCATAGCCTGCAAATTTTCGAAGCAAGTATAAAGATAACAAGAACAAAAAGTGTAAACAAAAGCCCCCAACATACCGCTCTAGTCCTTCGTAATGAGAATTGTGGACGAACTTGAACCATTTGATATCGCCCTCCTCTCTATCGAATTCCATCGAAAGACCTTGAATGGAGAACAAATAAGAGGACTTTACGAAATGAGTTCCTTCCAATGCTACCGATATTTCTCACTGGAGGCCAGCCATACTTCTGCTTCACAATCTTTCCCGCTCCATGGAATGAACGATGAGAGCGATTGGATACGGATGGTGCAGAATCCTGGATTATCATTTCTAGTTATTGACTATTTAAGACCAGCTGTAGCCCAAGTAGCTTCAAACAGTACTGAGCGAAAATAATCTAACAATACCTTGAAGGCCTTGCCAATCGCTCTCTTCAACTCGGCTGCAGCATCATATAAGCGTGGATCGGGCTTCAACACTTGTTCTACTCCCAATGGTTCATCATTTTCCACTGTTGATGATGCAGCCGCTTGATTCTGTAATGATAAATAGTACTCAAGAAAAGACTCAAAAAATTATGGGAACGAGTGCGCGGCAAACCTCAGAAGCCAGTTGTTCCAAGAGCTGATCGTCATCTAGCCCCTCCGAATCATGCTTATTCCGCTTCTTCTTTTTCTTTCTTTTCGTTTTCTTATCATTTCTCACGTCCGACGCAAGACTGTTTTTTGCGTTTTGCTTGTTGGACTGTGGCGGAATGGACTGTTTATCATGTCCTTCGTCATCACTGCCATCTGATTGCTCAGCGGCATCGTCTTCATCTGAATTTGCTTGATTTTTTGACAAGCAAAATCAGGGCTCGGCACAGCTGGCACCGGGTCAAGCTGGATATCGTTTTTAGGGCGGGAAGCAAAGGGGATATCGTTTTTTCGGGGTCCGCGGCGGAGAAGTGCCGCAAGAATGCCGCCGGCATGCCACCGGCATGTTGTCCATCAACAAACAAAGGCCTCGTTCTCAGCCAAAATGCAATAGTATGATACCAAATTTAGTGTGTGCATGCGCGTTGGTGGACCGGAACTATAGCCCAAAAATTTATGAAAACTTATGTGAATGAAAGCTATGCCGAACTTTTTTCTGAATTAGCTGGCACCGTGCCAGCTGGGTGCCAGCTGAGCTGGCACCAACACTTTGCTCACATAAGTTTTCATACTTTTCTACATAAAATGTATCTATACTGTAAAAGTTTACATACAGAGAAGAAACAATTCCATAATGTTCTCTTTTCAGCTTTTATAGCAATTTTAAAATCACTCAGTCTGCTCCGCAATCGAAAAATCGGCTTTTTCTGCTTCTCAAAATGTGATTCAACCACATAAAAAGCTTAGAAATTTGTGAAAAGTGGTTCCATGAAATCAGCATGCATGAAAACCCTACTACATACTTTTACAGAATCCAAAAATAATGACTTGTCTTCAAAACTGGTCAAAGGGGACGTCGTACGAAATTTACAAGATCAAACAGGACTTCGTTTCGAAATTCCCCTGGTGCCAGCTCGGGCCGAGCCCTGAGCAAAATGCAGAAGTTTCCAATGGTAGGAAGAAATAACGCTTGCTGATAGAGAATTTGGGCACAGCAGGCAGATATGTAAGGAACAGTTTCAAATTGAAGTGGCTACCCATGTAGGCGGGTCATCCGCGGGCGTGCGAAAGATGATATAAGAAGTTGTGCGCCGCTTGTACCCACTTCGCAAAATAAGCGATCGCCCTGGTCAGGGATCGGCAGTCTCTTTTTAGCCTTATAGACCATAAATGTTCATAGACATATGCGATATATCCACTAAATTCGGATGATTTTCAAACGCTTGTGTCAATGAACGTAAGAAAAGCGAACTACCATACCTACAAAAGCTGCAAATCGATTAACAGGCTCAGCTCTTGGCGAAGGAGAGCGTTCTTCAGACTTTTCGCTTGATCCTTCGTGTTCTTTTTCTTCTAACAAACGACGGAGGTGTTTCGTAGACATCGGAGAGGATCTAAGTTGCAATTACTCAGAATCTTTAGGTTCAAGACTCCATTTGCATTGCTAGGTAAGAAGGAATAAAAAGCTCTTGACGTAGTGTTCACATACTCGAAGAGATACGAAACTATGGAAAAAATATGGTAAGATTGTAACCTAAAATGTTCAATCAGAATAACTGAACGTCTCTCTATAGATTTCGAAGCATGGCAAATCCACTCGATCACTGTAAGTACCAAATTTCAAACGATATATATATATATTTCCATAGTGACTTTGACGAACACATTTTCGCCCTAATGATCCACGAATCAAATCGAAGATCTCATTTGCACTCAATATAAGGGATATGCAACGGAACAAAACCGATGGCATTCTCGCTATTTTGACTGGTAACCAACCCTATTTTTCGCACCCGCTTCATCAAGTGTACCTAATAGTTTTTCCGGTATTTCCGTACGTTTGGATGTGCACATGGCTTTCTTACGATGAATATTATAACTGAACCCTTTGAATGAGCATGATATCAGATAAAGGAAGTTCACCACAAAAGCCACGAAAAAACTATGTGAATACTTTTATGTAACAAACACAAAACTCGTTGTTACACCGATACCGGTATTGAATGAAAAAAAAATAAAACTTCGAAAGCGTTCAAAACATCGAGAAAATGAGAACGAAAAATTTCAATGCAGATAAAGAACAGATAGGTGCCAGCAACTAAAGCAAATCAGATTCAACATCAGCGACTAGAACTAACTACAGAATATTGTGCGACACTATGACCTCTCCTTGGGCTTGAGAGCTGATTCAGGCATCCAAGACGGTTTATAGGTTTTGATAGGAATCCCATCAACATTTAGCGGCTGACCAAATGCACTCAAAGACATAAGAGCCAATCCGTGAGCATTACCGCATGCAACTACCTGAAACGATTGATTAGTGTTCTATAGAAGGAGACCATGCAAAGGCAACACTTACTTCACCAACTCGTTTGTCATCTTGCATCACAACTGCTTTTGCTTTAACCGGTTTCTCGCACTCGAAAGGCAGAATACGTCTTCGAATGACTCCTGAAACACATGGTGAGTTCCCTCGGGAAGCAACCAGAGTTCATCCCCAATGTAGAAGTTGCTAGGCCACTCATCACTGTTGAAGCTTACATATCGCCACAAACAAGTCTTTGGTAATCCATACATCTCCTACATCGCACAAGCTTTCAAAATCTATGCAGAAATTGGTCTCAGTTGATCCTGCATGCTCATTTTGGTGACCATCAGCATAAGATTGAAATCCGATTTAAAACTGGATGTGCTTGAGTTTTTTTAGAAGAACGTATGGATTACGTAAGCCAAAGAACAGTGAAAGAGCTGAGAGACGAAAAACGAACATGACACAAGGAGATATTTTTGAGTGAGTTTCTAACCTGTATGTGCTGTTCGCGCGGTCAACTCTTGTCCAATATAGCAACCTTTGTCGAAAGAGATCATATTGAGTAAGTCGCCATTCGCCTAAACAGCCCGAATTAGTAGACCGTGCTAGCTGACAAAATGGGCTGATGTACCTGGAATGGTAGGAGAGTTGCTAGCTCCGCACAACCCTCCGCTAATCCATATTTTATTCGTCTTTCGTGATAATCAGCTAGGGATTCTTGCCCCGTATCTTCACTATACACGCGCCTACCTAGCGAAGGATATCTTGGGTCCAATATTGAGCCCGGCATTTCTTCGGTAGAGAACAGAACATTCTCCTTCGATTCTAGAATCTCTACCTGAAGTGAGCTGGTTTTCTTCAGCACAAGAAAAAACCTCGACTTACAGCTTTTCGCAATCGATACTTTTCCAGCAACTTCTTCAAATCGCCTCTATTTGAAGCTGTGCACTCAACAAGGACATCCTCATTGTCCCGTGAAATTATGACATCATCAACAATTCGTCCTTTGGTATTTAGAAAGAGAGCGGCGATACCCGTCGAAGGCAGTAATTTCCTAAAAAGCATGCAATATTATACAATTCATACAAATTGAGAAGATATATTGAATCGGCAAAAACACATACTTCACGTCATTTGTGATCAGACCTTGCAACAAACTTAGAGAGTCTGTACCTTTGAGTATCAGAATTGAGCGATGAGTTAGTCCTATAATCTTGGACATCTGAAATTCATTACTGGATGATATAATGAACTGGAAAAAACCACAATAGTGTAGAGATAACTATGATGCCAAATCATCTTGAAACAGCCAAGAAATGAGTAATTTAAAGGTTTTATTGCAGTTTTTACAAACAAAGTCCGCGCAATTTACTACGTAGGGAATGATGGAAAAAATCAAATGCTGAGGCATGCAGATAAAGTCGTGGAATGTCATGCCGAAATGAGATGCTTAGGGAATGAAAGCTTATAAGAAAGCGAATCGTAATGGAGTTAGAGTTACGATGTTGAGCTTGAAGTGAATAAAGACACAATGCAAGAAAGCCACCTTTTGTACGGTACTTTAGGCACATATTGGGAGATAGTTTAAAAGTGAATCAATTTCGGCAGGATGTGCAGTTGAACAAGTAGAACAGAAAAACCCAAACAAAACAAAAAACAAACAAACAAATGAATCAGTTACTTCTACGTTTTGAAGTCTCAACTTCCTTGCTAAAATATGGCATACGCAGAGCTTCGCGAGCCGTAAGACGTTGCTCCGTCGAAAACGTTAAACACCCACTAATGACAGGTATAGCATCCGAAGGCAAACGCGGATTCAGCCTAGACGGATCAGAAAATAGTATCAAACAAGCACTGACAGATGTAAGCGTTTAAGTAAACATAAGAAGAAGTGGACTGGAACACCTACTTTTCCAGAGGCTGAGGTGGATAGGATGGGTAATTTGACCGTGCGACTATTGCATCATGGGGCCAAAGTGACGCTCTGGGCGTTCCCATTTTCCTGAAACATGTCAATATTGCATCCAACGAGTTTATTTTAGCATACGGAAGCTCAGAGAGGGTATAAAGCATGGTTTTTCTTCATTAAGGTGCGCGCGACATTGGTATGTAAGCGGTGCCATTTTCTTCCAATGATTATGTAATTCTGACAAGCAGGAAACGGAGAAATTCCAACATTAAGTACAATGATTACATATAGAAAACATTTCTTAGAAGGACGGAAATAATCTTGGTGTACTTATCTAATGAAAGTTGACTCACTGAAAGATAATGCTGAGCTGCTGTGCTTCTGTTTGCCCAGGGAATAGCGGTATTCTTTGATAGAGTTCGCTAACAATGCAACCAATAGCCCATATGTCAACAGCAGTGTTATAACTGCATTGCAAAAGCAACTCTGGGCTTCTATACCACAAGGTGACAACCTGAAGCACACTTATAAGTTAGGGGAATCCGCTACAGATAATTAGCAGGTGACTTACAACTGTTGTAAAGCAGCTCTGTGTTGTATAAGTTCTAGACAAACCAAAATCAGCAATCTTTACCGTTTGATCTCGATTAATGAGAATGTTTTGTGGTTTCAAATCACGGTGAACGATATTATTGCTGTGCAGAAAGTCAACACCCTCAAAGATCTGAAAAACAGTTTGCAAACAAAAATTGTCACGATTTTCCGAGATAGATAATGAGAAAGTCACCAAAAACACAGTCATGCTTACTCGCAATATCGTGATAAAACATCAGCAAAAAATGCGAAAAAATGAACAAATCTCTCGATACTGATTAAAAGTGTCAGTACAAAATGGGAAGACATGAGCAGGAACTATAGAATTATGAAAGTTTTCGACCTGTACATAATAAACCAAGCAGAGAGGACAAAACAAGATAAATGAGTGCTCGATACCTGTCTTGCTATCAGCCTGCACTGATGGTCGGGCATGTCACGAGGAATGTCCTTTAAGAACGAGTACAAGTCCCAATCGCACTTTTCCACCACCATATTGATATGGAGGTCGCAACCGTTGTTCTCAAGTGTGTGGAAAACATCGTGCAGTCTGGAGAGAGTTTCTAGTGGTGCAAAGTCACGACGCTACAAACATGTTACAGCATTCGATAAAAAGTGCACTTTCTGCAGCAGCATTGATTATCTGTGCAAATAAAAGATATCGTAAAACGCACTGTGTGATGTTTTTGTGATGAAGTCTTCGCAGCGACATCATGCTGGAAATTTCTCGTAGAACACTCTGTGGAACTCCATCATCATTGACGCCCACAACTATTTTCTTTAGTGCATACTGTAAAAGACGATATCAAGAGCATAGTAAGGACAGCAAATAAAACATCAGAAGATGATACCTCTGTCATTGTTGGAGTATGAGTAACATGGTACACAACTCCGTAGGCTCCTTTTCCAAGCAGATTCAGCTCCCTATATTCATCTGCCTTGGAAGAACGCCAGTACGGAGGCTGTGAAGCCGCCAGTGTCATCTGGCCTAGAAACCGATCAAGATTATAATTCAGAAGTCTGATAGCTCAAAAATCAATATGTGCGTTTGCGGTAACTACAACAATTGTGCAGAGTACTAAGTAACACGCGCGTAAAACGCACCAGACAGCATCGACGGCGACTTCTAATGGCTATACTAAAGGCGATGCTGCGCGGTATGGCAAGCGCAAGACATATCCAGTAAGCCGCCTAGCTGCTTCACGATTGGCCAAATCAGTGACTGGACCAATCATGTAGCGGCTAAGCGGCTAGCTGGATAAGTCTGGCGCCTGCCTACAGCACGCGCTGTATTTGATCCACTTCTGAAGTAGATCAAGTATGGCACGCCCCACGCTTAGTCCGCCTGGTCCACTTCATCCGCTTCCCTATTGGTCAGTTTGCTGATTTGATCAAAGCGAAGTGGATCAAGCGGATAAGTGGATTAAAGACAGTAAATCGGCAGAATGGACTCTTCTCGGACTTTCGTAGAGTTAGGTAGTAGACACCCAAGTACACTGTAGCACACCAATTTCACCTTCCAATTCTTGGTCTAGGTCCCGAAATCGTGCTTCAAATTTCCACCAATGACGCCCACTCAGTGCAAGTGGGCGGGATTGGTGGAGTTTTGAAGAGCATTTTTCAGGACTTAGCAAATAAATTCGCCGGTGAGGTTTGGGCTACAGTCTACTTGGGGGGGGGGTCTACTACCTAACTCCACCAAAATCCGAGAAGGGTCCACTTTGCCGATTACTGCCTTTGAGTGCATGCGCGGCATGGCATATGGCATGGGCTCCTAGAACATCCTAGATCATTCACTATTTATTTTGATTTGTCTGACACGATCAACTCAAAGAAGATGAAATCTTATATATAAAGCTGAATGTCTCTTTGTCTGTCTGTCTGTCTATATGTCTGTATGTGTGTACGTATGTTTCGAATAGAAAATTCCATTTCTGAACCGATCGGGACCAAACTTGGCACACATACACTTCGGGCCCCGGCGGGTGTCATAGGCTACTTTTCGTCATCGATCGATATCGATTTTTTGCAAAATTTAAGCTACGGGGCTGGGAGTTGGCACAGGGGTACACCCCTCTGCCAAATTCCAGCCCCCTAGCTCAAAGTTTGCAAAAAATCGATAACATCGACATCGATCGATAACGAAAAGTGGACTGTGACACCCGCCGGGGCCCGAAGTGTATGTGTGCCAAGTTTGGTCCGGATCGGTTAAGAAATGGAATTTTCTATTCGAAACATACGGCGGAGCCGGGTAAGCCAGCTAGTTATCGATAAGTTTCAGTGCTCATAGCGTAAGTGAACTTCAAAACGCATTCGCATAACAACTTGATGGAATTAATGATATGACAGTTATATATGATCGTTGCAAAATTACACGACAGAGAATAGAAACCGCTGCTGTTGTACATGGTGGTACAGAAAGAACGAGTACAGCCAAGCTAGTTCAAGTGTGCTGCTGCTGTAACTAACTCTCCAGAAGCATTCAAGAACGCTCTCATTGCAACGATCTGTCAAAACCACCGTAAAACCAAACCCATCTTTCAATAGAAGACCGATCATTGCCGCAGATGTATTAAACTGCAAAGAAATGTGCTAGAACGCACCCTAGCAACAAAAGCGCTATCACTTCGCTGATAACTTGCAAACTACCTTCGCAAAACGCATTGGGAGAAAGACGCCACGTTTTATTTGGAGAAAAACCATTGATGAAATGTTTAGAAAATAAACGCAAATAAGCGAAACTTTCTGAAACAAAGAATTCTATTGATGCAGTTGTCAGCACTGGCTTACAAAAAGAGAAACGAAAGAAAACCCCTGAAGAAAAAGACAAGGGGAGAAAGTTTGAACACACGATTTCATTTACGCCAAATAAATGCTCAGTCTGCGATTACGGTCTCCATTTCGTTTTTTCAAAAATAATCATGCTCAGCTCTTATTTTGAACATTCTATTGAATTTTTGCTGTGAATTACATGCTCCCATCTGTTTTTAGGGTTTCAAACATGTGATCATCCTATATTAACCTTTAGGACAGACCTGGAAATAATGGCGGTACCGCAAGATGCCGAAGAGCCGGTTTGTCCTGAGAATTTCCGTAAATCGCTGAAAGATGGATCTTTCACAGTGCCGGATATCACAACGAAAGTGTACAAGGAAGAATGCACCTATTGCTTTAGGACACCTTTCTTTGCAGGTAAATGGAACTTTCTTCGATTTCATCAGTTTTATCATATTCTATCATATTTGAGGCGGTTTATTCGTCTGTCTGAAGACATATGCCTGCTTTTGCTTCACTCATGTTGGTTTGTATGCTGAGCAATCAGGAAATACCTTGTTTCTCCATATCTCTAGCAAGAAGGCAAGGGATTTTGGTTTTGAGGCTCTCCCGTTCACAAACACCTTGCTCAGGTTACCCTTGAGTCGGAAGAGGAGTCAGATGGAGAACCCAAGGACAAAATCACTCGTCTTGCAATCTCAGACACCGGATTCGAAGGAAAGAAGTGAGTTTCTAGCTTGCGTGATGTCGAGTAATTTTTAATTTCACTTTCTTTACAGATTTGATGTCGTTGACAGTTACGCTCTAGTTTCTTTCCCACATATAAATGCCAAATGTCCAGTGGATGAAAAGCTCGGCGCAGATCTCTATGGGTTGGTCTCAATCTTTTCTTAAGTTTCAGAAATTCTGTTTTTTCTCAAGTAGGTTTAGCATATAGGTTTTGAGCATGTCATCCATTCTTCTTCCACAGCTTGCGAGTTTTTGTAAAGCTTTCACTCTCGAAGTTTTCCATTGTTTTCCTTTTTTCGGTGTTTCCTCAAGTGTTATAGTCATAATAGCCACTAGTCACGTCATTTTTATATGTTAGAATGACTTATGGAAAGTTTTTTCTGTCAATCAGCAAACAGAGAACGCTCATATTTTTTAGCACATGCCAGTTTGTCATTAATGCTACTAGTGCCGAGCGGATAGCATTGCTGCAGAATGCTAGCAATGCTTGGGATGGAGAGGTAAGGATTGTCTAAAAATTGCCTTTATCGCCAGTTTTTTCCTGTCTTTATTCTCATAGTGGAGGCAATAGGCTCTCTGTTTCTTATTTTACTCAAAATCCATGCTTGCAGATCAAACAAATCACGAAGCATGCCAATCTAGTCCAAGTTGATAATGGAAAGATGGTAATCTTGATTTGTTCATACTTTTAACTTCCAGATTTCATTGCTTTTAGATTCCCATCAGTGGTTGGGTATGTGAAGCTGAGAACTGCGGTTTGAATGAAAATCTATGGTTGAACTTGACGGATGGTGCCATAAGATGTGGTCGTAGTCAGTTTGTTGGTGAAGGTCAAATGTGCAAAGGAAACAACCATATGAAACAGTATTTTGACGCTACCGGGTGCGTGCAAGACATTTTTGCAGATTTTATATCAGTTTGTCGCCTTTGTTTATTATTCAAGCAATCTCTAGATTCCCACTTGTTGTGAAGTTGGGCACCATCTCAAGTGATGGAACTGCCGATGTCTTCAGGTGATTTCGTATCGTTTTCTCTAATGTCAGTGTTTGATGTTGGCTCGTTTAGCTATGATGAAGATGATGCGGTGATTGATCCAAATCTGGAAAAACATCTTGCTCATTTTGGGATCGATGCGAGAAGTTTGAAGAAGACGGAAAAAAGTACGCTGGAGTTGGAGCTGGACATGAATCAAAAGTTGGTTCACGCAATGCTATTATTCAGAAATTACACAAATTTTTACACATCCAATGCTCTGTTCAGATGGGAATGGGCGAAGTGCCAAGAGGATGGTGCTAGTCTAGAGAATATCTATGGACCTGGCTATACCGGACTGATCAACCTCGGTTCTAGCTGTTACATGAATTCTGTAAGTTCTAGCTCTCCAACACTTTCTCATCTATTTGATACTGTTCTGAATAGCCGTAATTTCCTTAGGTGTTGCAATCACTGCTCGTTATTCCATCGTTTGTGACGCGATACGTTGATGGTGCTGGACCCATACTAGCAAGAGTTCCTCCTCTTGATGTTCGTTATCGATGAGTTTTCTTTGATTTTGAGCACTGATAATTAATCATTCTTTGATGTCAGGTGCACACAGACTTCAATGGTCAAGTTGCAAAGTTGTTTTCTGCAATGGCAAACGGTGACTATTCTGCGGTAGGTTGTTGTTTTCAGTCAATAAAGGGATCCGATAATCAAGCAATACTTTTGGGTGAAGAATTCTGTTTTGTAGGAGAATAGTGATCTCAATGGGATAAAGCCATCACAGTTCAAACGAGTGGTGGCTGGAAATCATCCAGAGTTTTCTACGAGTCGGCAGCAAGACGCGGAGGAGTATATTCGGTGAGATTTGTTTGCTGTTTGTATGACTACTACAACAATGCTGTTATGCCATTGTTTGCTTTCAGATTTCTCTTGGATAAGATCTCCTCCGGTACTCCAGTGGAAGTCCGGGATCCCACACTTTCTGTGAAGTTTGTCAGCATTGATATCGAACAAAATTGTGGAAAATTCGTATTCATCCTCATCTAGATTCAAAATGGAAAGCCGATTTGAAGATATTGCTTCCGGTATGGTGAGGTACACGGATAGAGAAGAAACTGTGTTGGCAGTGCCTATCCCCAAGGTAATGAAAATGCATTTTTTAAACACTTTAGTCATTTTCTATTGTTCAGGCTGCAATTAGGGCACCTGAAAACGAAGGAGGTCGATCGAATGTGGCTTTGACCGATTGTCTACATGCTCTTTTTGAACCGGAAATCATTGAGGTAAGTTCTGTCAAATTAATCTTGTGTAATTGTACGAGTAACGCTTTTAGGATTTCGTGAGCCCTATTACTAACGAAAGGAAAGGTGCACGAACTACAATACGATTCAAGACATTCCCAGACTTTCTGTTTTTACAAGCTCAGGTAACTTAAATAACATATGATATCTTTCTGAAATTTTATCCTGTGCTATTCTATTATTTGTAAACATTTATGGTTTTTTTTTACTTTGTTTCTTTGGTTTGCTTTGGTTATTTTTTAATAGTTCCAATGATTTTGCAGAGATTCACCATGTCTCCAGATTTCACCATAAAGAAGCTAGACCTCGATTTGCAAGTAAGCCAGTTGTCAGCTTCATACTTTCATGGAACGATGCGTGATTATGTAGGTTCCGGATGAGATTGATCTGTCTGGATTGCGCGGCATTGGGAAGAAGGAGAATGAAGTGCTTTTACCTGATAGTGCCTCAACAGAAACTGAACCACCACCACCGAACTACGACCAGCATATAGTTGAACAGGTAGCTTTGGACAGTATTCCATATTTTCTATGTTTCTAGAACCTTTTATTCAGCTGGAAGCTATGGGTTTTACAAGAAACGCTTCAATAAAAGCAGCGATGTGCACCGGCAGCGGTGGAAGTGTTGAAGCTGCTGCTGAATGGGTAATGCTCCGTTTGGATGACCCTTCACTCAACGACCCTCCTGCTCCTTCTTCTAATCCTGGTGCGGGAGCTCAAGGGCACGTGGAAGGGATGGATGAACTCATGGGTTTTGGTAAGAAATTATGAAATTCCTATTTTTTTGCTAAATTGTTTTTTGCCAGGTTTCACTGCTCATCAAGCGCGTTATGCTCTCAACCGTAATCCTGATGCCAATGCTGCCGCGGAATGGTTGTTCATGCACGCAGATGAGGTTAGTAGTACAGTTGCACTCTATCAGTTCTTTTTTTTGTTAAATTCATTCTCGCGTTCTAGGTACCGCCTGAGTGTGGGACTGCAGTCCCGGGTGAAAATACGACTCCTCTGGCCACGTCAGCATCTCGCGAGTTTAGTGATGGAAATGGAAAGTATCGTCTTGTCGCGTTTATTAGTCACATGGGAAGCAGTCCACATTCTGGACATTATGTAGTGCATGTGAAGAAGGATGACAGATGGGTGAGTGTTCACATTCTTCTGTTTTTATATGACTTTCTTGTTTGAGATGTGATTACTCATAACTTTTGTCCTTTTTTTTACATACTATTTTGGAATTTGATCTTTATTTTCTATTTAGATTCTCTTCAATGACGAAAAAGTGGCAATATCACAAAATCCACCTCGTCAACTTGCGTATCTCTATCTTTTTCAAAGGTACGAGTGACTGGCTGTCGCAATTTGTTGTTGTAATAATTTTTCATTTTTCCCGATCCCTTGTTTAAATGTAATTCAAGCCAAAGTCCGCCAGTTTCTACCTTCAGTCCTAATTATCAGTATCATATTCAAAATTAGTTTACGAGTTGACAGCAGCACCTCTGCAGTAGTATTATCTTTTCGGAGCACACTCTTGACTGGTGTTACCTTTGTTATATTAAGTTTATGTGAAGTTTGTATCGTTAATGCACTTTGTAATATACATTTTTTTCTCGCAGATCATCTATGTTTATTGTCATAAAATGATTACAAATACAAATGGCAAGAGAAGTAGATGAAAAAAGGCACTGCAAAGAAAGCAGATAGCTGACGGCAATTGTTGAGTTTTACTCTAATTCCTGAGAGTAGGGCGAGGCATATGTGAACGAAGAATGCAACTTGAGAAAGACTAGCTCGAATACTCTATGTGGCACTCGAAAGTATAACTGATAGCTGAAGCGGCGCATGCAATCAGTTTGGGACCCGTTGTCGACATTTTTGTGACAAACTATACAATAAAATGGAAATCCACTGCAGAACTTTGATGTGTGAAAGAATTTTGCAAGATATGCGTCGAGTGGCAAGTTCTGGCTTGTTCCTGGACCGGTTCTTTTCGAGGGCAGTCAGTGAGGAGTAAAGTTTTGGCCCCCTCATCGCGTTTCCATGACAGTTATCGGCAGTTGTCGACTAGCAACTGATAGGCGGTTTTCGACTTTGCCAGATCCATCCGGTCGTGCTATCTTTACAACAGGTGGATCCACCACTAGTACACCTCGTGCTTGTCGATGTGCCAACATCTCTGGGTCATCTCTGCAAAATCCATCACTTTACAACGACATCGTTCAAGTTTCAAGTGGGACAAACCTTATGTCATAATGCCGGATAGTCCAGTTTCTATTTGTCGTCCAACATCGAAATATTACCCGACATACAGAGGCTTCAGCTCGATATTGTGTAAATACAGCTATAAAGAAGGCAGCGAAGAAGAGCACCGAGCACACAACGACAGTGACATCGTCATCGGATAGTGAAGAGGATACCACTCGATAGCCCCTAAAAGATGAATTATTATATTCGAGGTGTTTTTCTTCTTCTTGTGGGTCTTAGCTAGTACAGAACTTCTAGGAGCAAAATTGGCATAATGAACACTAACAAAAATGCTCTTTTTATGGAGCCATATTTTGTATTTAAAATTTTTTTATACTAACCCTATTTTGTGTTTATTTGCTCACGATAAAAAAAAAACAACGGAAAAGGCCTTTTGCACTCGTATACAGTATGGAGAACGTTGGCAGTTTCGAACTGCTGCCTCGCTGAAGTAACGGAACTTTTGCGCTACAGTACCCTACCGTATCCTGCAATACGCATGAAGATGCCTTGTCTTGTTGAGAGCTAAGGAATAAATAAATCAACGGCATTTTTGTTTGATGAGGTATTTTCTTTACAAAGCCATACAGCTGCACGTTGAATCTTCACATTGCAGGATTAGTAGGATACTGTAGCGCGGCAAAAGGACCATCACTTCACGAAATTGATTTGAGACTGCAGACTTTTCTCATTTTACGATCAATCGACAAATGGCAATAAAATAACATTTAGCCAGATGAAAACACATCAGCCGGAAATAATGGGCAATCAATCATTAGGTCGTAGCCATTTAGACTCTCAAAATAAATTCCAGTTTTGTTGTGATTTATGTTGACGGATAAAAATAGCATGCAGTCTCAAATGACATTCAAATACATGGTGAATTGTGACCTTTTTGCAGCGTTACGTTATTTATCCTAGCAAAATGGGGGTAACTGAAACTTGGTCAGAAAAAATCGTTTAGATCTTTTTTTGGGGAGGGGGAGGTGAAATAGTCAATTACTGAAATGGTTTTTTGCAATTTACTAGAAGTTATGGTGAATCTGGAAATTATGGTTACTGTGTGGAATTATGTGGAACCTAGAGATTGCGCGTTGAACAGCTCGGCTTTTTTCTTCACGTTGAAAATTAAAATGAGATCATAAAATAACCATTACTACTGTTCCATTGTTATCTTGAAAATTAGATCTTCACATCTGCCACTCAACTCAACCCCATTGTGCCGTTCAGTAGCTATGTTCTTCCACATTTGTCGTGCATGCTAATGAGTGGCTGGCGCGCAGTCTATTAGGAGGATGCTCTCGCTGTGCTCTGTTCATTACCCCTCATCTAATAAGCTCAGTCATCCTCATAATCATGGTTTATCCCCGGCAAATTCGACTTGATGAACGACGAAAATTGTCTTCCAAACAGCAAATGTAATTACGCCAATGTCACTATACTAAATGAAATCAACTCTTGATTGTGATTGCAAGTAATTTTGAGTAAATACGGGGTGAAGGAAAAACCTGCAAGAATTCCTGAGTATTTGGAAACACAATTTGCAATAGCCATAGCCTTTACTTCAAAGTTTTTGGCAACTTCGAATTTTCAGTTACACCTTCCAACAGGAAATTCTTCTTGAAAATTTGCATCTCAGAAGAATTCTCATTGATGTTTTTCTAGCAAAATTTCCCTTCAACACAATCCACGGAAACATTTTCCAAGTTATCCTGTCACGCACTGCCTACGCATTGCTGACGTCTGGTACTATGATAGAGATTTCCTTCATGCGTCAATTTTGACCAATTGTAGAAAGAAAATTTTTTGAAAGAAATATGACGTATTACTCACCTCAATGTCGAATGATACTGCTCCGAAAGTTGGAGGAAATGTATGGAAAGCACTGCGCATACCACCATAATGATAAAAACGACTATGAACAACAGATTCAAAAGGCGATCTCGAGCTGATATGTGTGGAAAGTGTAGTGAAGAGATCTGAAATATAGGAGTTATGGAGTTAGAGATACATTTTTGATCAGAAAAAAAAATGGTCAGTTCATATAGAATGGACTTAAAATTCATTTTTGATCAGGATCCCCCATTATATAGAGATTCTTTGATTTTTCAACTTCTTCTGGCATCCTTTTGAGAATTGATTTTTCAGGAGTTACGAAAAACGGACATTATGAAAATAAAACGGATGTTTACTATTGAAAATATTATGAGGAACTATTCAAAGAATCTGAATTGGCCTAGCATCCTGAGAGACAATGATTTTTTAATGTATTTGAGAAGGTGAATAGGATATCTTTTGATTAAGATTCAAAGGATCGTTCAGTCACTATAGTCTTGCTTTGATTGAAAGTATCCTAGGAACCCCAAAAAAGCAAAATTCGTTCCAGGATATTACGATTTCCCCTCCATATAGATGATGGAATTTCCATTGTGAACGAGTTTCAACTCGAAAAATGTCCGTGCAATTTTGAACGTTTGATAGCTCTTTTTTAGAAAAATAGGAAAGTAATTGATTGAGAAACATTTACCTTAGTTTCTCTTTATATTAGCAAAGCTGCAAAAAAATGAATGTCAACTCTACATTTCCAGTTAAACCATTTTCTTCTAAAATTTACGTTTTAATAGCGCCACCCCAGGCAGCAACAGTTGCTGCGAAAATTTCTAAACATATGGTGGTCCATGTGTGGTGTGTGTCTCATAATTTATGTCACGACACGATACGATCGCATATTCCATTTGTTTCGTGTCGAAACAGCTGTCTGACTTATATATAACGACATGGACTCACATTGATGCAATTTCGTCTTCGATAATTATAACCGCAAAGTTCGCAACGCGGTGCGGGGACCATTTTTCGTGTGGATAATTCGAGCCAGTGCTGAAAAATAAAAATATGAAACAGAAGAAAAGTGGGCTAAACATTGACTTACCACTAAACAACTCCTGTGTACATATAGTAGACTACCCGAACATCGACATGGTGAGACAAATGGATCTCGTGGGCTTTCAAATTCTGTATGACATATGCGACATAATGCTGTCGTTGACGAGCATAAGGATCCTGAAGAGATAATACGGTAGGATTACGGTACTAGCCCCATCAAAATTGACTTACCTTTACTCGCTGCGAGATCTGAACCAAGTAATTGGCCTGGAAGCCATTTTAAGCTCGGTCTATCATCGTCTTTACTTTGTGTTGCATCTTCGTCTACTTCTTTCACAATCAGCGGCTGATTTTCCATGGAGCCTAGACAGCTAGGCGTAACCTGGAAAACAAAATTTTGATAAAAGCTGTAAAGACGGAGGGATTTTTTTTTGGGAAAAAAGACTTTTCTCGTCCATACGAAATTTTGGCAGTTTTTTTACCCATATTTCATGACTTTTACTGGTACAAACAATTCAGTCGTAACGCTCATGAAAATGTTGTAATGATTCTGCTTTCTCAGAAACCTGTCACTAAATACTTCTCCAAATTCCCTCCACTTGACCACCCAGACTTAATCTATGCGGCAACATTGCATCACAACCATAACACCATTTTTCGAATAAAAGAAAACGATTTGATTGAGCACTCTACATCTGTATCAATCATTCCGTAACAGTGCACGATTCCAAGTAAACATCGCAAGAAAGAAATTTTCTTTAGGACCACAAGGCTATAAAATGGGCTGCGCTAAAAATATTGTTGAAGAATTGGCACGTCTGTCATTTTTCTTGGAACAATTTCCAAACCATTCCAGCAAAAACGCACTCAAACACAAGAGGGGAATAAGTTGCATTTTTATTTAATAATTTTGATTGTCAATCGAAATCAGCTTTGTCCACAGACTGATTGGCAAGTGGTTTTTTTGCAAGCATTTGCAAAGTTGAAGAGTTAGGGCGGGGGGGGGGGGGGAGGCCATAAGCTTTTGAGAGTTTTTTCAAAATTTTGATTTGTCTAACGTCTTCAAGAGAAGAACAACGAGACCCGTAATAACTTCAAGGTATATGAATCAAAAAGATAGACTTTTTGCTTTTTCCCTCGCCTAGGCCATCTCTTCTCCCTCCCCCCCCCTCCTCTCGGAATTTATTGCAACATTCACATGAGCAATCTCATGTGTTCTGTTCCCGAACGTAGCGATAAACAATTGATATTGGAACATATTTACAGCAGTACACCATGAGATTGCGTGCTGAACATTAGATAAGAAATGCATGTGATAAATGTGTTGCTGTTTGCCTTTACCGTGACAATCTTCTTGTCCTTCAAGTAGAATTTATGAAGAAATTTGTAGAACAACATTCTTCATATGGTATAGAAGGATGGGTAAAAGAAATGCGAAGGACATAAATAGTAACAAAATAACATAATAACAGGTAATATAGTGGTCAAATTTGGATGCTATGATTCCATTTCATTTCAAGTTAGTATGGCATTATCGAAACTGAGAACATTTTTTTCTAAATTATGGTTTTATCTAAGTTGGTTTTTATTTCTGATGACTACTGAGGCTTTTCGACTAGTCGATGGCGAACTTTTGGTGCAATAAGTGAATAAATAAATAAAATAAAAACCAGCGAAACTAATCAAAATGCGTCGGCTGTCCAAAATTCACTTTGATTTTTTAGATTTGAAAACAGCATCAAAGGAAGCTTCTGTTATAAAAACTGTCATCCGTCTTGGAATCTGACCATCCATAAAATTCTAGAAATTTTTAAAAAGAAAAATAAGGAATAGAACGATAATTAAGGCAGAACTAAGACTTTTACACAAAGCTCAATTCTTTAGTTTGTTATTCATCAACTTGGAAGCCATGCTTTTTGAAAAGAAAACATGCGAATCTTATATATAAAGCTGAATGTCTGTTTGTCTGTCTGTCTGTCTGTATGTCTGTCTGTCTGTATGTCTGTTTGTATGTCTGTCTGTACGTATGTTCCGAATAGAAAATTCCATTTCTGAACCGATCCGGACCAAACTTAGCACACATACACTTCGGGCCCCGGCGGGTGTCATAGGCTACTTTTCGTCATCGATCGATATCGATTTTATCGATTTTTTGCAAAGTTGGAGCTACGAGGCTGGGAGTTGGCACAGGGGGGGGGGGTAATCGAGCATGCTGATCACCCCCGTGGGGGTGATCAGCATGCTCGATTACACCCCTCTGCCAAATTCCAGCCCCCTAGCTCAAATTTTGCAAAAAATCGATAAAATCGATATCGATCGATGACGAAAAGTAGCCTATGACACCCGCCGGGGCCCGAAGTGTATGTGTGCCAAGTTTGGTCCGGATCGGTTAAGAAATGGAATTTTCTACTCGGAACATACGGCGGAGCCGGGTAAGCCAGCTAGTTGAACTATAAAATATAGTTAGGTGACATAAAAACTGAAAAAACTAAAAAAAACAGGTCCAACTCATTAGCGAAAATGATTTTGATTGAACTAAAAATTAAACTTGATTTCTCAAATTTGAAAAAAAATCCTGCTTCTCAAATATAACTTGAGCTGGAGGAAATGTGAGCTGTTGCTTCGACTGCAGGGTTTCACAAAGTGAATGCAATCAAGAGTCTTATGAGGGCGAAAATTGCATCTAATCGGTAAAAAATAGGTTTATCTTAGGGAAAGACCTTCTCTAACAATAAGAAGTATAAAGTATAAAAAAACTAAAACACGACAATACAAATAAAACAAAAATATTAGCAAAAAGTAGCCAACAGATTGTATAACACGGCAAAAAAAATTCCCGCTTCTCGAATAATTCAAATTTATGATAGGATGAGCAATACCGTTTCCTTAGTTGCTCTTAAGCGGAAATCTCCCTAACTTTCCCATCATAACATTCCCAAGCATGACTCGTCACCAAAATGAGTTTCCCACATTTTAGTCGCCAGTTTCTCACACTGTATCGCTCTCATGCATTTTTTGCTACAAGCAAATTCCTTGAAGAGTTTTTCCCCATCGAAAAAAGGATTTGCATTTTCTTGCATTTCCCAATGGCTATTGAAGCTGTCAACTAGTTCCGACTAATCGCACCCACAGGGACCGATACAAAACCATAACGGGAACCTGTTGGATAATGTGTGTGCTGGCTGCCCAAATAAATCTCTTACCCCCCCCCCCTCTGGGCTGTAGCGTGAATGATAGATTATTCGCGCCGTTTGCCCTTGTCTCTATTTGTACGTGAACTGTGCAAAGTGTCGCTTCAACACTTGTGTCACAGTTTGTGTAAAGGAAGATCGGAGTGCGAAAAAAAGAAGAAGAAAAAAGTTGATGAAGGTGAGAGATGAATTGCACACCTGTTCTTCGCTCGGTTCATTCGTTGTCGACCAGGTTTGCACCGGCGCACCGTCATGCATGGAACTCTGCAAAAAAAATATTTAAAAAGATTGTCGCCTGATTTAGTGCTATGGAAACAGGTTCTAAAACAATTATAGACTTGGGTAACATATGGGGAGATTTTGGGAAAAAAACTTCATGCATTTTCATGCGCGATGCAAGGAGAAATTGATTTAAAAGGACATTTACTGATGAATTTCTCACTTAGGGTGAAAACGCATTAAAATCATTTTCTTTCTTCTCTTACACCGGAAGATTTGAGCCATTGTGAATTTCTAGGAAGAAGGAATCATAAATTTCCAAAGCTGAATATTCTCTCCTTTAGTTGGTACAAAGAGGCACATAAAAAAGTAACAGCAATTGTCAAAATCCATTTCTAACAGCTTAGAAAGGAAACATAAATCTTCGATTATCATTGCGAATTTTCTAATTTTCCACCAGTTGAAAAAAATGTTTATCGAACTAAAGATCTAGTGGTAATTCTAGAGCTGAAATAAACCAACAAAGATTAGAACTCAGATTAATGGCTCTATGCGCAAGATTTTCTCGATTTTTTAGCCCTAGCCTTATGAGTGCAATGTGAGTTCTGTCTGAGCTCGAAAATCTCGTAAAGCTAGACAAAAAGTAATTTGAATTATAGTGCGAATGCACCGATCCAAATCTCTGATCACCAATAAACGAATTTTTACGCATGGTTTAACATAGACGGAATGAGTAAATAGGAAGATAACAAATGCAAAGGGCAAAAACATAGAGAAATATTTATTTTCTAAGCAGAACGTCAGATCAAAACGATGGGTTGTTATTAAATTCGAGTAAAAGAAAGATTTTGGGCTAAGGAAAAACATATATGTTAAAGAAAGGGTAAAAAAGTAATAATTTCAAAGCTTCTTGCATTTTAGCAATACAAATATGTAAATAGCTAAATCATTCCTGAATCAGGGCCCGGCGGGGGTGGCATTTTCACAAGCTGGATATCGTTTTTGGCCCGAAAAAGCAAAGGGGAAGTCGTATTTTGGGGTCCGGGGCGGAGCCCCGGATCCCAAAATACGACTTCCCTTTTGTTTACCGATAAACAATGCACATATCATTCTTTATTCATCATTCCTTGTTGATGCTACTGTTCTATGAACTTAGATTCCAGCAATGTGAAGATTATGTGCTCCGATCGCTAGCCTTCCCGCAGGCGGGAATTCAAATCGCAATTCTTGTAAGAGGAAAACAACAAAATAGGCTTGTTTTCAATGCACAAGTAACGATATGGCACCAAATTTGCTGTATAGTTGGAGGACCATGAGCACAAAAAAAGTATGAAAAATTATGAAAAACTTATGTGAATTATAAAAATGGTAAGTGTTTTTCGAAATTAGGTGGCTCCCGCGCCACCTGGGAGCCACCTGGGGTGGCTCCCTGCTTCCCTTCACATAATTTCCCGGATTTCTTTACATAAATGTGGACTAGGTCGAGAGTATTACTACATGTTCAAATCCGCTTCCAAAACCACCAAGGCACCGCTTAGATACAGCCCCAAATAGGGTTCACAGCGTTATGATCGGCCTCGGAAAGCGCGCTCCAATCGCGACCGGTGCACCTTGCACGGACGACGCGGAAACTTCGAGAATGTGACTTTTCTGAATTGGTGATCGCTGATTGAAGCAATCTTCACGATTTCTGAATAGATTGCTTCTTCGACAAGCCCTACAAGGGCTCAGAAGGGCCAGAGATCATATTTCGTCGTGATATTCTATGCAAACAGTTGTTTTTTGTAATCGTGTTTCTTCAGTTTTCGCAATATGGTCGATTTCTCCGTACTTTCGCTCTTTTGAGTCGTTTGTTTTCTTTGTTTTCCTTTATTCTGGTTGTTGTAGGCATGCTGTCATCAAGAGTTGAGGAAATGTCTTTGACAAGATCGAGTCGAGTTAAATCGGTGGACCTTCATCCCACGGAAACGTGGCTATTGGCAGCTCTTTACAGTGGAAGTGTTCAGATTTGGAATTACGAGAGTCAGCTGCTTCTAAAGTCTTTCAAAGTAGGTTTATTTTTTTGAATTTTCATGTATTTTTGTATGTTAGGCCCCGGCCAGACTCCGCTCAAGATAGCTCATCTCTCGTGAAAAGGGGCCTTCGGTGTTTTTGAGCGGTTTTGGGCTGTTCAACTGAAGTCTGGCTGGGGCCTTATGTTGCTTACTATGTTTCAATCCAGTATCTTCCGCATTCTTCAGATATGTGATTTGCCAGTGCGCGCTGCCAAGTTTATTTCACGCAAAAACTGTACTGTTACCGGCTCAGAAGACATGCATGTCAGAATTTTCGACTACAGTACCTCGCACTAAGTCCACCAATTTGAGGCTCATTCGGACTATCTCAGGTAGGTGGAATGGTGCATTTATTCAAATATGTTACATTACATCGAATTTTTGCATTCGTTTTTGTACATCACATTTGTACTTTTTTGTTTTTTCTTTGTGTGTTTTCCTTTATTTCCTCCAATATTTTTGTGGATCAGCGAGACCTATATTTTCAATGTGTTTCTGGTCTGGACGATCATTTATTACTCGACAGAGTTTACGCGATTTGATCCACATTCTCAGTGTTCACGAGACTGTTTGCCTCGATTTCATAGACATAATCTTTGTGTGATTTTTGTTTTTTTTTGTTGTTCCTAAGATTGCCGTTTCAAATTTCCTCGGCCAAAAACGCTCTTAGCCTAGCAGCGAAGCTGATGCGTTACGCTGATGGACAGCATGTTTTTTGACAACATTTTCGAAGCCAGTGTCGGGGTGCTGGCTGGCCTGCGGAAGCCGAGATTTTTCGAGGGGAGGGGATAGTGCAGTGTTTTCCAAAATATGCGCTCTCTCTGCCAGCTTGCACAAGTCACGGCCCGATGTCCGATCGTCTCTGACAAATTATCGATTCATCATGTCCAGCAGTTAATTTTTACAATCATTTTTTTGCTACTTATCTCATGAAGCAAGTTCAACGAAACGCTTCACTAATGCTTTCGATGTTGACCTCATCAGTATGTCATTTTTTTCGGTTTTCAAGCATCTGTCTGCAGTGAAAATTCTCAAATGCCCTTTTATCGATAATACCGATCAAATCGCGTGAACTATGTCGAGGGCCTAAGGGATCGTCCAGACCAGAAGCACAATGAAAATATGATTATGCTATCAAAAATTCAAACTAGGAATGTAAAATTGCTTGTTCTATTTGTTGTGCTTGCTTTTTCTTGCTAGTTGCGTTCGAGTTATCTTTTTTTTCGGATCAAATCAAACCCGCATTCCACTTTCATGGTGACTTCTTAGCACATGCCCTTTAGAGAACTTGCATATTTTGAGTCATCCAAAGCAACTTCGATCGATCCGCGAAGCACATTCCCTTTTTTTGGTCTATCGTTTGGCACAATTTCGCTGGCTGCTTTCTTTGTAGCGCTAAAGCTTCTCGTTCAGCAGCCATATTGAAAAAGATGCAAAATTATGTCTCAGAAAGAGCTTTTCTATCTTTGCAAGTAGATGGAGTTTGTAGCATCTATGTGAATAGAAGTTATACGAGAACGAGATGGTATAAAGAGGAAAAGAGAGTTTTGACCGTTGAAGTTGTTGAAGTTGTTATGAAATGAATGTTATGAAATTGTTGTTGTATAGTGTAGGTTTATGTTTTTGTTACTGAAGTTGTATAGTGTAGGTTTATGTTTTTGTTATTGTGAATTGTAAAGTTTCGCAGCTGACCAATAAATGAGTAGTATCTTAGATATAAAGCTGCAGTGCAGTATTGATACTGCAGGAAAAGGGTGGAGAATATGGCCCAAAAGGAGAAGGACAGAGTGTGGTTTTTGGCCATCCCCTCAAACGATGACCCGGGCTGGACCAGGAAAGCGAGGTAGTATTTCTATAATAAGCGCTGAGGCCGCCCATCTTATTATTTGTGTATATCTGTTTGTCAGGGACTTACGGGGGTCAAAAATAGGGTCAAAGGGGAAGTCGTAAGAAATTTTGGTTTCAAAGGGGATATCGTTTTCAAAATTCTGAAATGCCACCTCCTGCCAGGCCCTGTCCTGAATATTCTGCGATTTAGATATTCGGAAATATATGACCAATTCGCAGAATTCAGTTATCTGAAAGATTTTCGGGTCAGGATTGATAAAATCCCACGAACCTCTTTGATTCTGGAAAAAGCTATTTTACACTTTGAGCTCCAAACTCGCAAAAATCGAGCATTTTCTACCAAGTAGGCACAGATTGGGCTTGATAAATCACAACTTGACCCATTTGCCCACCCTACCCCCTTCTCCCCCCTCCCTATTCCAAAATAACTATTGCAATGATATCGACAATATTAGTTTGTTACTTCTATATCAACTTTTCTGTGAAGGAGGTGATAGTTTTCTTGAAAAAAAAACAAGATAGATTTTTGCTCAATCGGCTCTTTCTTTATTCTTCTTTTTAAGTTTTCTTGAAAAAAAAAACAAAATAGATTTTTGCTCAATCGGCTCTATCTTTATTCTTCTTTTATATTTTTTCTCTACATTTTTAGCGCTTTATGCTATCCTCCTTTCATGTTACAAAACGTAGATGGAATTATGAAATAAATAGGAGACTGGACGAATGAAAAAGAGCCTATTTTCATTTTTCGTCAGATTGACGCTCTCTGTCTGCGAAAAGCGATTATGCGATTATTTTAGCATGTGACGGGATGCCATCTGATTCATGTTGTGAATTTTCTAATCGAAATGCTTTCAACGCTGAGCAATGCTCTCGAACAACGAGAACAATACATCATAGACTTCTCTTTGCTGCATTACGAATTCTATTCTTCAACTTGCAGGCGCTGTTTGATAGACCTGCCCTTTGAGTCAGAGCTCATAATTGCGCTTTTTATGCGGCAGCAGCTTTGAATGACAGGTCATAAAATAAAGAGGTGTTTTTGTAGAAACAAGTGACTGTTTATTGTGCACTTTCCGGTCCAAGGGTTATGAAGAAAGTGAATAAACAGGCTGTATAGATAATTATAGAGATTATAGGAAAAAGAACAAATGTTTGGATAGAACTGCTCTACCCAACCTACAGGAATAAAGTTGTACTCGCCAAAATTTCGAAAAAATCTGCAGATTTTTAGCTCTAAAGTATAGAAGGTAAAATCACAGAAAAATGTGCGGAGATTAAGTAGAAAATCAGGTAAGTTGTTATTTTCATCTGAAGTTGGAACTTTTACTCCGCGGAAAAGTACTCCGTGAAATTTCCGACAGAGCTCTGCAAAAGTTCTGCAAGACATTACGAAATTTCTGCTTGAAGTCCATCAAAAACATACGATATTGAAAGTGTACAAGTAGATGCAGTAGAAATCAGGCAATTATAGTTTTTCAAGTGAAGTAGCGGAGATTTTTTCGCGGGACTTCCGAAAAAGCCTCACGGGATTTTCGCCAGAGCCTTAAAAAATTTTCAAATGTCCAACAAAAACAGAAACATGCAATGTTTACAAATGTGTGAGTAGGTGGAGCAGAAAAACAGAAAATTGCTATTTTTAGTTCAAACAAAAAAGTTGCAAATTGCGAAGTTCCGAAAGCTTTGCGGAACTTCCGACAATCCTATAGAGGAATTTCCAGGGAACCTCTGCAAAAAATCGGTCCTTCAAAATCGATAAAAAGTGTTACTGAGTAGAAAGTTAATTAGTTTCAATCTCAGGTCCAATTAAGTTAGTACCTGAAACTTCCATCAAGTTTCTGCGGAAGTTCTCCACTTAAAAATCGATAAACATACAATATTGAGCGATCCATTGCCAGAATCGGCCGAAGTAGTTGACTGAGCGTCAGCTTCTCGTCCCATACGCTCAGCTTTGCCAGTGGAATCTTCTCCAGAGACGGTCGGCAAGGCTGTTGCCGACATCTGTAACCAATAGTGGTCAATTGTCGAGGGTTTTGCAGAAGGATAGCAGCGGCCAAAACGAGTTTTGTAACGTTGACGATGTGCTTAGAGACTAGGAGATAGAGCACAACATAAAAATAGTGTCATTTCGAGGGAAAATGGGGTCCTGGCCCTGTACGGGGTCGTTTTGCATCGGGGACAAAGAGCAACCGATGTAGACACAATTCACGTGAGATGAAGGGGGGGGGGGGGTATTGTAAGAAAAACAACTAGGGCTGTGCTGGGAAAGCAAAGCAACAGCAGTCTCGACACGAACACGTTGTAATAGTTGCGGTCGAGTCAAGTCAACTAACAACAATTTTTTTCTTACGAAAATAAGAGGCGATGCGGTTTTCTGAGCGAAAAAGGAAATGAATTGTAAGACTTGCAATGGCAGAGGGATTGATGGCAGTTTGGCGCGGCGAGTGATGAATGAACTCTCCACAATGGCCGAGATTTTATTGAATTCCAACATAAATATAAACAAAGAGATTTCAAAGGACTCAAAGGGATCGCTTCCAGTTTTTCCGCATCGTATAGCCTTTAAATTTCGATTGAAAAACCTCCTGCAGAAAGAGCAGTAATTCTCCTTGATGAGCTTCATTATTCACATGACGTTATGGATGTAAGGAAGGCCAGCCATAGAACCAGCTTCCTCACCGGAATGGAATGTCTACTGAATACTAATAAACAATTATGTTGATGATTTCCGCTGGCGGCATGACGTGCAAGGCAGTGCAGAAAAGAAAGATTAATAAACAAGCAAGCAACTCCTTGACAAAAAAATGTTTCCATTTTGAGGGATGGAAAGAAGGGGGGAGGGTGAAAGGAGCAGTAAGGGTGGTATTTACGAAATTTCTTAGATTTACTGTAAATCAAAATGCAATGATAATAGTCCAACATGAGGAAGAAATATAGTTCAGAGACCAACTACGAGTTTGCATAGCCAATATTGAATAAGAACGAAAAGTAGGAAATCGAGTCCGAATTCATTCCGGATCTCCTAGGTGCTACGCATGTCATGCTGAAGTTACTTATCTGTACGTCCAAATATCTGACTTTTTTAAGGTTCGAAGCCACAATTATTCTATTCATTCTACATAATATTGACAAAATTAGATGTGTGGATGTTTTATCAAAGATGCAGTGTTTGGATCCATCTCAACATTACGAAATTTTGCAGAAGTTTCATGATTCTAGGAATTTTGAAAGCATTCCATCAAACCCATTGCGATCTTTTGCTGTGAAGCTAGAAACCCATCTTGAAGGAAATCTGCCTCAAAAGGAAGCATATTTATTCTGGAATTTTTCCATTATTTGGTTTCGGTACAATATGAGTAGTAATAAAAATATTTAAAAAATCGAAAGTTTGGAATTCTTAGAAAACACTTAATGAACCCTTGGTACCGGTTATGGATTTAAGGGCTTAAGATTGAAATAAAGTAGTTACTTCAACGACCTCCTAATAATTGAGCTAATAAGAAATGCACTGTGAAACTACGATGTGAGAATTATAACAAAAAAGCTATATCGTAAAATCCTCAAAAAGTATAAAGGAGATTTGAAAGTTACTATTTGATGAACTGAATTACACATTCTGCTCGATTACCGCATATTATGAAATTTCGTTGGAGATAGTAAAGTTCATTAACCAACATAATGAAAAACATCAGCGGCTTTTTTCTTCGCATCGTGACTTAATAGCAACTCTAAAATGTAATTTTTTGACAGATTTTTAACTTTTATGGGGCCTTTGATAGTTTTGAATAGATAAATAGTACTTAAATACATAAACTAATTATAAGCTTTAAGATTATACAGAAGAACTTCCTCTATAGGGAATTTGAAGAGCGTAAAGTGCACGCCATCGTCGACATCAGCTGATTGCAGCTGCTGCCGCCGGCTGGTCACTTCGCTCCGCCCCCATCATTGTCGGAACGCTTAGTCAAGCGCAGAAAAACCTCATTTGTTGACACAAGTTGCTGTTTCTAATGGAATTGGCATTTTTGGGAAAGATGGGGGTGAGCAAGCATTCGAGTATCAAGTACGAAATTTAAGCGGCAAGTATGGAGAAATGTTGAAGTAGTTTTATGAATAAATATTGAGGAAAAAAGATTTCTTTAAGAAGTGCACATTCGAACAGGAACTTTCTTCGTAAGTATGAAGTGACTAAATATTAAGTTCTTTATGGAAGAAATGATAAAACCAAAAAATTTTCACAACGATTTTATAAGGAGAAATGATGAAGCAGAAATTCTATGATGGGAAAGTAGTGAAACGGTAGAAGTTTATGAGGAGAAATGACGAGACATGTGATTACTTGTAGCGAGGACTTATGTCTGGAAGGTGGCTGGTCCCACGCGGACATCTGCGACAAAGACGCAGCTCCACACATTACAGTAATAACGCATTTGTACCGGCAGTCCGAGCGGGGTGGAGCCTGTAGGCCAGGAAACTTTTTTAGAAAAGAGATGATGAAACGGGAAATTTTTATAAGGGAAAACTGATGAAACAGGAATTTTTTTGCGATTTATAGTCAAAGTTATCGATGGTACGGTTTCTAAGGGTGTAAATTACATGCGATTCCATTAGCCTGCATTCATTTCTATAATATATAATTCTGCAAAAGTTGAAAAGTACAAACTTAAGAACTATTATATTTTACTAAACCATACACGTATAATTCATATTCCGTCAATTAGCACATATCTCTCATTTTTTGTAGAACAACACGGGGCTGGCAATTCGAATTCGGGAAAAAGTGCGAAAATAAAAATAAAATTTCAATCAATTCCGCACCATGCCTCTTAACGTCTACTTAGCACCATTATCAAATTTTCCAAGAATTTTTCAGAAAATTCTCATCCTTCCTAGCTTTTCTGCAACAGTCTTCCTCTAAATTTTCCAGGAACCATTTCTCACCCTCCATCAATATTTTATCGAATTTACCAGAGTGCATGAATTCCAGCAAAAAAGTGGCATGACGACTTCCGCATGACTGCACTAAAACCCCTAACACCCCGGTATGGAGTGTTTTGCACGATTGAGAAGAAAAGCGCGTTGATTGCAGCGATATGAGGTCAGCGCCACAGCAATAAGCCAATCAAATCACCAATGTCGTAGAACCGTAATGAGGTTGTCAGGAACTCTGTGAAGCTTGATAGAAGACGGGGGGAGGGGGGGGGGGAAGAGGGAGATGAGGGAAGAAAAAGGAAAGTGTGGCATCTCTCATAAAAAATTCCTGGAAAAGGAGAAATCAAGCTCAATCCTCATATAAGCGTTAAAACACATAAATTTTGACTTATTCCTTTTTTTCAGAAATAAAACAGAAAATTATATGTGTTACTTTTTCACTCCGTTTTGTTCCTCCCTTAGACGGAGTATGAACTGATTTCGAATTTTTTGTTGTTCCCCGGAACTCCTCGGTAAGGAAGGAAGGCTTACATCAAGAAAAAAGACAAAATTCAATAATTTTTCATCACGGTTAACTACAATACATTCAAAATCAATTTTATAACAGGTTTACAGGAATCTTCAAAATTCCGTGCTTCAGCCTCGAATAAGTTCATATTTAAGTTTATAATTTTTTATATTTATATTGTTGATATTTTCAGATTAAAGGTTCCTCAAAAAGTCACAATATTTTTATAAACGATAACATAAATCAAGTAATCCTAATCAAGTAATAGTAATCAAGTAATCAGTAATCCTTTCAAATTTCCTGCGCAAAACTGAAGGTTCAGGCTATTACGTCAATGTACTTATTTTGTTTATGAATATACCCAAGCCCAGATGTTTCGAGCTAAGTGGGAAAGAATAGGATCGAGGCGATCGAGAGTGGGTAATGGATATCCCCGAATAACCTGTGGGAGAGAGCAGCTGGAATGACGCAGAGTCACATTATGAGGTGTCGGACGATTCTAGTGGAACAACATCCGGTCCCCCATTAGAAGCTGATGGGGTAATGTTACTGATGTAAAAATGGTAATGTTACAAAGATCGGAAAAATCAGTAAAATCGAAAAATTCTTAGAAAGAAATAATTGTTCCATCAATTCACCACCTTTTTGTGATAAAGTATATTTCGCTGGTGTGCGGTAAGTGTACTGTACCCTAGGTAAGACACATGCTCATATTACTTATTTACTCAACATTTGAATAGTCAGATACTGATTGCTGTGTCACCGTGGACACAATCAGCAGCTACATCCCGATATAGTTTGATTTCATGACGAATACTGTAGGGGTGCGGTACCGCAGAGAAAAGAAATTGTAAAAAATCTCAGCGAAGCTTGCGTCAAATTTTCAGAAAGAAATTACTCATAAAAAATTAAAGTCAAGCAATATTTTGAAGTGAACTGAAACGACGTCCTTTTTCTTATGATAGTGATATGACGAAATTATGAGCAATTTTTTTGCAGATTCCAAAATTTATTTATTTATTTATTTGTGCATAGGGATGCCCCTATGAAAAAGAAAACAAACAAACAACAACAAAAAACAAAACAAAACATTCAACACCACAGCACCTGAACAAAAAAAGGTGTTAGTGTGTTTTCAAGTAGCCTCTCAAAACTCAAAAATTTACTAATATCTAAGCTCAAATAGAGCATGAGCAATCAATAAAGCGACACACTCTCCAAAAAAAATTCATATAAATAACCGATACCCAAATACATTAGTCTAGACTACAACTTAGGAAGCGAAGTGGTCTCAAAATGGACAAAAAACTTATTATTGAGATTAGGAGGTCTAGACACGAGCCGCATTAGACAGCTAGTGCAATTGGTTTGTTTATTTGCGCAACGGCGATAGGATAAACAATACGAGAAATAATTATTCACACTGGACATTTTCCAAATCTTTTAGCAGCAAAACTTAAAAAATTGGAAGAAGAAAATAAGAAAGGATTGTCAGCATATAACTGGCATTGTGAATCTCAAAAGGAATTTTGGAGGATAAACTTGGGGTTCTGCCTATCCA